GGTAGATCAATCAGGAGGGCTGCTGGGAGTTACAGTCCAAGAACAGGTAGAGAAGGAAGAAAGGAGAGAAAGAAAAAGGGAGGAGGAGGAAGCAAAGAAAGAAGGAAAGAAAAAAGAAGGAAGGGGAGAAAAGGGGGGGGGAGGGAAGGAAGGAGAGAAACAGGGAGGGAAGGTTGGCCATAGCAACGCATGGCGGGTACAGCTAGTGAGTATATAAAATTACAAAAGAATTCTCAGGATTTTTGTATATTGTTTAAAATCTCCTATAGCCTGTTCTTCATCCTAACTAGAGTAAACCCATTAACTCATTAGAACTTAAGTAATAGTTGACTTGGCAAGTCACAGTTCGGTTTATCATCTACAGTTGAAACTGATTATGGGATTTAGATCTTTTAGATCTACATATCTGGTTTAATCTGTACTGGTTGAAACTTCGGTAGTGTTCTAAAGATTTGCTACTTCCTTGGCTTACTCTTTCAGTAAGATGTTTCAGTTTTTTATTCATCCTTAATGTTTGTGGAAGTGTGGCAGTTACAGTCAAAGGTTATTTTTAAAGCACACCGATGAAGGCTGTTTATTTGAGAATGCTGAAAAGGTGTTTATCTTTTGTAAGTTGTAAATAGTGGATAGATAATCAGCTGTTACAACTGTTTCCAGATACAGGCAGTCCCCGAGTTACAAACATACGACTTACACATGACTCCTAGTTACAAATGGGGGGGGGGGTGAGACAGTAGGAAGTGAGAGGAAAAATTAAATTGTCACAGGTACAATGTGAGATTAAATGTTCTGAACAGGGGCACAGACAACAAAACAAACATTACAGGTGTGTGTGTGCGTGTGTTACTTAAAATATATATCTATTCAGACTTGCACAAAATTTCAGTTTAAGAACTGACCTACATAACCCATCTTGTTTATAACCCAGGGGACTGCCTGTATTGGGAAAACAGCTACATGGAAAAGAAATACTTCTATTAAAATACAGCATTGGTTGTCAATAGATACAAGTTTTAATTGTTTGAATATCCTCTGTGAACCATTGCTGTCAATCTCACAATTTTAATTAGCAAAAGCTACGTGTAATCCGAATTTGCATGTTGAAAAAGCAAGTGATAGTATTTATTATGTTGTTCTGTGGTATTTACATTGTATAAATCCAACAAAACAATGGACATTTTATCTCCAATGCATTGTTCTTACTAACTTGGTTCCTTAAACTAAATGGTTTGTTTGAATAATAAAGTAAATGTTACCTCTTTAAACAAAGTTAGGATATCACTTGGAGTTCTCTGACAGAATAAAATAGTTTTTAAAGCACCAAACCATGGTTTAACACGATTCCCAGGCTATCATTATAATCAACAGCTAACCAATGAAGGTTTCAGAGTAGCCAATATCCAATACCACAATTAGAAGGTAGCCTGCAAAGTCCAGTTTGGTGGGCCAAGCAACATGGTTCTCTCGAGAGGTTTGGGACTACAACTTGCATATGCTTGTTAACATGGCTGGAATTCCTGGCTAGTAGTTCTGGAATTACATCTGAATGAAATCAGGTTGATCTCACTTACTAAACAGGCACATCGCTTAGTTTTCAGAGGGCACTGCTTGGAATAAGAACTGAAAGATCTAAAGGATTAAGAAAATAAGGAAATATCACAAACAGTGGTTTGTCTGTTTTTCTCAAACTTTGAACATGTTTCAGAATATAAACTGGTTAGTGGAAGCCTTAGTTTGGCATTAAGTTTGAAACAACCACTTCCTTTTATAAAATTTTCATTGCCTCTCAATTATTTTATATATTTAGAAAGTTAGAAAACAATTGCCTCCCACTTCCAGATAGTCTTGGATTACACAAGTTATTGAGATCCATTTCAAACTGGTACCAGAGCAGGATACCGAGTTGAGACTGCTACGATCACCTTTGTACATAGATGATGTTTGCCTCCGCATCGACAAAGGCAGTGTGCCCCTGCTTGTGCTTTTGGATCATGGTACAATGCAAGGAATTAAATCAGGCCATACCCATGATCCAACATACAGAATAAAAGCCGAAATTGAATCACAGTTGTTCCTAGAGGGAGGGGGAAGAGAGGGAGAGGGTGGGGAAAAACTAAAAACAAGGAGATATGTATAAGTAGGAGACTAAGGTGAAATTAGAAAGGAGTAGAAAATGAGTTATACTAGAAGGATATGTAGCCTCTTTTCCTTTTACTAATTGGTTTTGTTTCTGTAATACTTCTGTAATATAATGGCAACAAGTTATACTATACTTATACAATCCAGTAAAAAGGTTTTAAAGATAGTGGTGCTTGGAGATAGCTGCTCCTCAAAAAAAAGGAGCTGTTAAGTAGCATAGCAAAAGGTGACATTTTATCCCCAGTACTGTTCAACATTTACATGAAACAACTGGGAGAGATCATCTGGACTGATGGAGCAGGGTGCTATCAGTAGGCTGATGACACCCAAATTCTCCATGCCTTCAAAAACAGTCTCAGCTAAGAGCATTCTATCTCCTTTGAATGAATGCCTGGAGGAGGATAAAAAAACTGTCACTGAATCCAGGCACCTCTGCTTATATCAAGGGTTCTAATCAAGGGTCCTATAACCCTTGATGGGGTTACACCTCCCCTGAAAGACTGTGTTCTTACTTGGGAGTGCTTCTGGATCTATTGCTTCAAATGACAGCTCAGATAGATATGACAGTCAGCAATCACTTCTATTAGCTTTGGCTATTCCCCTTCCTAGAGCTGGAGGAACTAAAAATGATAGTGCACGCACTGATAACTTCAAGGCAGGACTTCTGCAATGTGTCGTACAGCAAGCTATCTCTGTACCAATTTCGGAAACTCCAAATTAGTTCTAAACATGGCAGTCAGATTAGTCATTTATTTAGAAGATTTCTATACCGGCCTTCTCAACCTCGATGAGGGACTCAGGTCGGTTTACAGTGCATATCAAATATAATCATATAAAACAGCAAATACAAATCATTACATATTAAAATAGTACAACTCAGTACAATAAAAACCTCATCATTACATCATTACAGTTTCCTACGCCAAATCGTCAATCCAGTCATGGTCATAATCATATTCATAGTCACAGTTCATCATAATTCATCACAGGGAAGGTTCCAGGTTCAGTCTTTGAATGCCGCATTCCAGAGCCATGTTTTTAACGATTTCCTGAATGTCAGGAGGGAGGGGGCAGATCTAACCTCTAGTGGGAGGGAGTTCCAAAGCCGGGGAGCCACCACCGAGAAGGCCCTGTCTCTCGTCCCCACCAACCGTGATTGTGAGGGTGGTGGGACCGAGAGCAGCCCCCCCCCCCGGAAGATCTTAGTAGCCTTGATGGTTCATAGGGGAGAATCCGTTCGGACAGGTAAACTGGGCCAGAGCCGTTTAGGGCTTTATAGGTCAACACCAGCACTTTGAATTGTGCATTGGTACTTCTAGAAGTTTTCATATTACACCTACATTAAAATATTTTCACTGGCTGGTGATTGTTTTCTGGGGAAAGTGAGAGTGTTGGTTATTGCCTTTGAAAACTCTATGTCAGTGGTTCCCAACCTGTGGTCCATGGACCACAAGTGGTCCGCAAAAAAAGGAAATATGGTCCGCAGCCTCACTACTGCTATATTGTTGCCATGAAGTCACGTGGCAACAAGAGTGACTGGTCTTGCAAAACCCTCTGAGGCAATGGGGATGTCAGGAGGGGAGAGGCTGACTACCCATGAAAGATTACTACTACTACATCAGTTCTAGATTATTAAATATGGTTTTCTGTGTTTTCTGTGTTTTAGCAGATAGCGACCATTGGGTGGCATATGTTCTGTATCAGAAACTAGAACTGATGTATCTATCCAATGCAATTTTCTGAATCAGTATCCCAAATAACCAAATCTAAAATTGACCAAAAACTGATTTCTAACTAATTTGTATTGTAGAGATCAGTAGAAAAGGAAAGTCCACTTTTGGATTCTAATCTTGGAGAGTGGTCCTTGGTCAAACTGGTCCCTAGTCAAAGTGGTCCCTGGTCAAGCTGGTCCCTAGTCAAGAGGTCCTTGCTCAAAAAAGGGTTGGGAACCACTGCTCTACATGGTTTAGATCCAGGTTACCTATGGGATTGCCTGCTCCTCTATGATCACCCCATATACTCAGGTCATTTGGGCAATGTTTATTCCAATCAGCCAGCACTAGGTTGGCAATGATCACTCAGAAGACATTTGCTCCAACCATCCTTAGATTGTAAAATGTCCTTCCAGAAGAGATTTGACAGCCAAGTATAATGTCTAAGTTTAAAGCAGCAATAAAGACCACTATCTTTCAGCAGGCCTTTCAAGATTATTTTAAAATTATGGTTTTAAGTTATGTGCTGTTTTAATATGTATTAAGTGTATATGTTCTTTCAAACAGATGTTTTCACTGAATTATGTGCTATTGTATTTTAATATCTTGATGTTCACCACCTCAGTACATGCAGAGAGGAGAATACATTATTATTATTATTATTATTATTATTATTATTATTATTATTATTATTAAAATAATTATATTTTCAGGCTTATGGCCATCATTGGGTTTCTTGGCAAGATTTAATTAGAGAAGATTTGCCTTTTTCTTCTTCTGAGGTTGAGAAAGTGCACCAGTTGGTTTCCATGTCTCAGTGGGGATCCAGGCCTTGGTCACCTGAGTCTTAGAAGCATCTACACTGTAGAATTAATGCAGTTTGACACCACCATGGCTTCCATGGTTCAATGCTATTAATTCATGGGAGCTGTAGTTTGTTGCAGCAATAACACCTTTTGACAGAGAATGCTAAAGACCTTGCAAAACTACAACTCCCATGATTCCATAGCATTGAGCCATGGCAGTTAAATTCTACAGTGTAGATGCACCCTAAGTCCAACATCCAAAAGGAATATGCTACACTTATTAATCTTGTGTGACTCTCCAGTCTTCCTTTACACGAGACTTAATCTAACCTTTTTTTAATAGGTTCATCTCCCTGGATCAAGTTTACAGGCTGCGGCCCAGTCCCTAAATATACAGGTAAGTGTTATTATGTCTTTCACATTTGCATGTAATAATGTACATGCAGTCCCCAAGTTATGAATAATATAGATTCTGTTTTTAAGTTGAACTTGTATGTGTCGGAACAGGTATATTTTTAAGTGTTAACTCCAGCTGTCTATCTATCTAGCTATCTTTGGACTCTGTGGTGTTTGTTTTGCTGACTGAGTGATTTCACCTCACTTTCTGTCCCTGTGATCATTGGATTTTGAAAACTGTGGCTTGTTGTAGAAACAAGGATTGGTAATAAAGCTTCAGTTGAGACCTCGTTTTCCCATGATAATTCTTTGAGGAGTGAATTTCCCTTCCGAGAGATAGATTTCTCTCACTTCCTGTTGTCTCACCCCCTTTCTTAACAATGAATCATTTCTAAGTTGGATGTTTGCAACTTGGGGGCTACCTGTATTTGAAATAGTATTTAGCATGATTCAGAGGCTATTAGGAAATACTGTTCACTGCATTAGTACTGTTGATCTATAAAAGTACTTCCCATGTTTTATTACAGAACCAAGTACTGTTGAGTAACATTTTCATTGCCGATAAAACTGGTGGTAATATAAAATTGTCTTCATTGTTGTGGTTCATCCCTTCTGTTCTTAGCTAGCATACTATAGAAACAATTTTGACTATTTTTGAAAAAAAACTTGTTTACATAAAAAAAGATTTATTCAAATACAAACACGTTTGCACAGTAAATAAGGTATTCTGCAGAAAGAAAAACTTTTATGAATTGTTTAATTGTCTTTCAAGTATTTTTATATTTATACTTTTATTGATATTTTGTATAATTTTTCATCTTTAACATGTTTCAACCACCTTGTCATATATCCTTGTGTATAAATTGACCTTGTGTATAAGTCAAGGGTGGGTTTGGGGGCAAAATTATACATTTTCCTATGTGTGGATAAACCAAGGCTAAAACTTAAGAGACTCTAACAAATCTTTTTCTCTCCTTTTAAAAATACATAAAACATTTCCACCTAAGTTGCCCAAAATGACATCAGCACCTCCAGCATTGGTCTATGGATGAGTTAACTCAGGTTTTCTGAGTCAATTTTTTGTCAACATTTTTGACTTCTACACAAATACATACAGCAATTTTATTACTGGATAAATAATTAAAAAGTTGGATGTTACACAAAAAAACTTTTTGTTTTGTTTTTACCCAATATGTTGAATCTCACAGTGGGGAGAATGCTTTAGGAACTATTCAATGTTGCATTAAGGAATGAAATATGTGAATATTTACACCTCTATCATGGTTAAAATCTAAAATAGCTGTTCACTTTTCTTGTAGACATAGCTGATTGCAACTGTTTAAGCTTTGTGGGTTATGTGATACCTATAACATTACAATCCACTGGTTGCTTTAGTCGTTGAAATATTCAAACAGTGTATCGAAAAGAAAAGGAAGATAGTGAAGTGTCCCCATTCTGTATAAGCTCTGAAGAACTAGGATAGAGCATTCTTGAAACCCCCTGGAACACGCACCTAGTTACGTATAATAATTTTGAAAAAAGGGAGAGATAGTGACCTTCCTCTTTAAAAGAGAGAGGCTGAAAATTGCCTTGGTTGCCATGGTAAACTTTCGGTCCCTGGGAGAGATGTTGGCAAACAGGCTATATCTCCAGTGCAGAATGTTTACAGTCCTGTGCTGTAATTATCTCTCAATGACTGGCAGAATTAATCAGACCCTCTATGTTAATTAGCCTGCTCTACAGTCCCCTAAACAGGTGGTGGAAAATATGCAAATCTATGCAGAATTTTAATGTTCTGCATAAGCAGTTTTAATTAGCATAAACCCCCTCTTCTTGTTTTTTTCTTTTCATGTGCTTTCTCGCTTGCATTTCCTCCCTCATGGCTACACTAATTTCTCCTTTTATAAAATAGTTTTAAATAAAGGAAATGTGCTTGCCTAGATAAACACCAAATTGCTGCTGGAGACAAGATGTGTAGAGTGTTTGTCTCCTACCTCCACCCTGCTGCTACACTTTTTCAGACTAGTCCTTTATTGAGGTTGAAATTTTATATTAATGAGAAGTATACAAAAATGTCTCAATCTAGGGGTCAGGGCCCCTGGGGGGGGTCGCAAGGGGTCCCCAAAGACCATCAGGAAACACAGTATTTTCTGTTGGTCATGGGGGTTCAGTGTGGGAAGTTTGGCCCAGCTCTTATCTGTGGGGTTCAGAATGCTCTTTAATTGTATGTGAACAATACATTCTAGCAACTACCACTCTCAAATGTCAAGGTCTATTTTCCCCAAACTCCACCAGTGTTCATATTTGGGCATATTGAGGATTCCTGTCAAGTTTGGTCCAGATCCATCATTGTTTGAGTCCACAATGCTCTCTGGATGTAGGTGAACTACAACCCCAAACCCTTCCAGAATTTTCTGATGGTCATGGGAGTTCTTTGTGCCAAGTTTGGTTCAATTCCATCATTGGTGGAGTTCAAAATGCTCTTTGATTGTAGGTTAACTATATATCCCAGCAACTACTACTCCCAAATGACAAAATCAATCCCCCCCTCCCAAATCCCACCAGTATGCAAATTTGGGCGTATCAGATATTCGTGCCAAATTTGGTCCAGTGAATGAAAATACATCCTGCATATCAGATTTCTACATTATGATTCATAACAATAACAACATTACAGTCATGAAGTAGCAACAAAAATAATTTTATGGTTGAGGGTCACCACAACATGAGGAACTGTATTAAGGGGTCACAGCATTGTGAAGGTTGAGAACCACTGAATAAAACTCTTCTCTGGTCTAAAGTGTCAATACACCTAGTAACAGGAAGCATTCATATTAGTTGCATGATTGGACAGCTCCACACATTCTGTATTGCTGTGATGCAGGCTTGTCTAGAATATTTTGTATAGCATAGGCTAGGGAGAAAAAATTGTTTTGTCCACCATTGACAATGGTTTGTTATAAATGGAAGGGAATGTTACTGGCCACCATAATTTATGTTATGTTATACCCCCTGTGGCTCAGCAGGTTAAACCACTGAACTGCTGAACTTGCTGACCGAAAAGTCGTCAGTTCAGATCTGGTACTGCTTCGGTGCTCCATGCAGTTATGCCAGCCACATGACCTTGGAGGCATCTACAGACAGTTCTAGCTCTTCAGCTTAGAAATAGAGATGAGCACCACCCCTCAGAGTCAGACACAACTAGACTTAATGTCAAGGGGAAACCTTTATCTTTACCTTTAGAGCAATAATTTGTCAAAAGAAACTTGGGGGGGGGGGGGTGAGGTAAGACTTAGTGATTTAAGATAATCAAAAGTTTATTATGAGTTGAGAAAGATATTTAAAATATAGGGAAAAATAGCTGTTTTCACATTATATCTGTGTCAATATATATCTGAAAAGGTGTGTATGTTTCTTTCTTAGTCTAAATCTAATGAAGAATCAGGGGAGAGTCAGCAGCCAAGCCAGCCTTCCCAGCAGCCTTCGCTTCAGGCGGCCATACCCCAGACTCAGCTCATGCTAGCCGGAGGACAGATCACTGGGGTAAGATAAACCCGAGTTAATTATAATGGGTTATCATCTCATGTTGTTCTATTAGCCATCAATCACTTATAAGACAATGAAATTGACTGTTAAATTATATTTCCAGACAATTCTGGAAGAAAATTGTTGCATCCTTGATCTATATCTGTGATTCTCTCTCAGTCATAGACCTTCCTTGCCTGGTCTAATGGATATTCTATGTGCAGAGAGAGACCCAAGAACTGATTATCTTTTCTTCTTCTTTTTTTCTTGAGCTATGAGTAGTACTTGTTAGTTTGGCTCCCAATATACGGTTTATAATATTGTTGACTTGTATGTCCAGTTCAAATAACTAATTTTCACTCTTAAAATACTATATACCCTGGTTCCATTCTATCTGAAGAAACTCCTGTCTCTGTGAATTTTCTCTTCAGTTGCTGGAGAACTTCTCCCAGTTTGTTCCTCCAACATGAAACAGAATCAGAATCTTGTTTCATGAACTCTTGGTCTAAGAGGCATCTCTTAGGGGTTTTTTTTAGACACTACTGACACAGCTTATTGATTTTTAAGAAATTTTAAAATTCTGTTGCAATAATTGTATGTGAGGTGGCAAATTATTTATGCACAGCTTTCTTCCAATAGAGGCTTTCTTCAGAAAGGATTATTGATATAGGGCCCCCGGGTGGCACAGCAGATTAAACTGCTGAGCTGCTGAACTTGCTGACCAAAAGGTTGGTGGTTTGAATCTAGGGAGCGGGGTGAGCTCCTGCTCTTAGGCCCAGCTTCTACCAAACTAGCAGTTTGAAAACATGCAAATGTGAGTAGATCTATGGGTACCACTTCTGCGGGAAGGTAACAGCATTCCATGCAGTCAAGCTGGCCAAATGACCTTGGACAATGCCGGCTCTTTGGGTTAGAAATGGAGGTGGACACGACTAGTCTTAATGTCAGGGGAAACCTTTACCTTTTTATCTTTATTCATAACCTTATCATGCTAGTGCTGGTCCCCTGTTTTGCCAAAGAATAGAAAAATGACCTCTGAAATAGACAGTTTTACTAGGGCTTATCAGCCCAGCTGTCAGTAAACTGTAGCACATTTCTTTTTACATATTTATTTCTATGACAGTAAAGTGTATTTGTCCCATGTTTTATATCTTCTGTGATATGCTGCCTTCAATGCTAACACATTTTTCTGATGTCATTGGCGTCACAGAGACAGTATTGTGACTTACACAGGGAAAGTATGTTGGTGTCTCTGATATGAAAATAACGTCTTAGCCCTATCTATCAATAGAAGATCAACTGTTCTCAGTATTTTTTACCAGAATGCAATTTTTGATGTCCTCAGACTTTTTGATATGCTGACATTCTTTTTTAAATACCTAACATAATTTTAAACCTGTTTTTTTTTAAAAAAAAAAAGTCATATGGAATGGCAAGTTCTCTGTATAAGCTGTAAATATTTCTTGTAATTGCAAAATTGTATGCTGGAACAATGGGCAGAGTAAAAAGGGATGGTTGCTCCTGCAATTTTGAAGGTGTGAGACTTTAGCCTTTGCTTCCCATAAGTGCTGAGCTCTGGAATTCACCTCTGTTTTGAATTTAGTTCTGTTTATAGAAACTTGTCTTGTATCTAAATCAGAGTGATAGTCTGTCTGGTTTATTGTGTTGACTAGCTGTAGCTGTCAGTCAAGAGCAGATGCTTCATATCAAAATTATGTAAATACCTATTATCTTGAATTCAGTTTTCTTGTAGTTTGAACGTAATTGTTCTTTCTTGGGATAATGGTGCCTGAGTATGTATATTTTTGTCTGTGTGTTGTGTATGTAAATGCATGGGGGCACACACACACACACAGTGATATTTTTTTAAATCTGTCCAAGCGTGTTCTATATCATTGTGCCAACCTGGTCTTTTCTACCTTGCGGTCTTTGAAACTGAGGGCTCTGTTAAAATGGAAACTGGGAAGAATATTCATGTGTTGGAAGGACTCTGACACCACCTGTTCCAAAGAGATAATGTGTGTTTGGAAACTGGCAAAGATGTCAACCTACCAACTCAATCCTATCAAAACAAAAAGGCAGATGAAGGGGGGGGGGACTTGGAGGAGAACAAATGGTGCACATGTTCCTCCGCTATATCTTAAGGCATAATGGAGATGATGGAACATGGCAGGGATTCATGCTAATGTGAAGCAGCTGGAGTATTATCAGTTTGTTTGGTAACCATAGCCAGTATTGCTATTTCTCATTCATCTGTCTAATCGCTTGTGCTTCTGGTGGGTGTAAATTTCCTTTCAAAGCCTGTCAGTGACGGCTTGTTCTTTTTGCTTGCTATTTCCTGCCAGTGCTGTTTCTTTCCATTGCATGCTTGCTTGCTAATTACCTTTTTTGCATTAATCTCGAAGCAGAACCATAGAGACACTTCCGTAATCCCCCTAGTCTCAATGGCTGCAGTGGTATAATGGTTGCGCCAGTACCATTGCCTTTATGTGAAATGAGCTATGTAGGTTGATTTCTATCTTACCTGGAGCAAACAGCTGCTCTTTATAGAGGGTGGCTTCTTTCATGGAAGATGCTCAGGAGTAAAGAATTATGTTTGCAAAAGCATTGTTGTTGTTTGTGCCATTAACTACTGTCCTAAAACTTGTTTCTAGCTCACGTTAACACCAGCCCAGCAGCAATTGTTGCTACAACAGGCACAGGCACAGTTGCTGGCCGCTGCAGTGCAGCATTCAGCCAGTCAGCAGCACAATGCTGCAGGCGCCACCATCTCAGCTTCTGCTGCAACGCCCATGACACAGATCCCTCTATCTCAGCCCATACAAATTGCACAGGTGAGCTCTTAATGGGTTATGGGGTTTGGTCTGACAGAAGATGTTTCCTTTGTGCCTGTCCAAGGAGGAGCTTAATGAGGGTCTAGGGTTCACTCTCTTTAAGTATCGAGCATCACATATTTCATCTTTGAATTCTCAAAGTCTGTATCGCGGTATTATGGAAAATTGTAACTTTCAAAATAGTCAAAATATTAACATATGTATGAACTTTGTGCTAGTGCTCTTCCTTCTCTGTTTTGTTTTCTTACTTCCTAATTCGTGCAAATTGTCTTTCATTGTTACACCATCCTTTCCAAACAGATCTGGAAAGGATGGTTCGGAAAGCTGTAGCACATGCCAGCCAGGAAGTGTTTAAGGCAGTGGTTCTCAACCCGTGGAACCCCAGATGTTTTGGCCTTCAACTCCCAGAAATCCGAACAGCAGGTAAACTGGCAGGGATTTCTGGGCGTTGTAGGCTAAATCACCTGGGGATCCACAGGTTGAGAACCACTGATTTAAGGAGAATAAAATGCACAAATGGAAAGTCAGTTCACAGTGTGAAGATTTGATTAAGTCTGAACTGGCATTACTCTTCCAGTGATATTCTTCACTGCGTTGGACTCAACCAGGAAGAAATGGGCTCAATTTTCTGCTTGTTGATCACCTTTGTACCAGGACAATGTAGACCTCACAGGATTTATTTATTTATTTATTTATTTATTTATTTATTTATCTGCAGTATTTATATACCACCCTTCTCAACCCTGAGCAGTTCACAGTGACAAAATTGAACAGGAAAATCTATAGCACCCTGAAAGTGGGGATGAGTTTAAACTTTAAAAATACATGTTAACTGTAAATTCAAAAAGCTCTGCATTCTTTTCCATGACAAATTGAAGATTATGCAAATATTGCTATTCTTTAAATGCAGCCTTGCTTTACTCATTTGAATTGTAAACACATTACTCAAATAACTGATTGTTTTTAATAGGATTATTCTTGAATAATTGATTTCACTGGCCTGATCTCTGCATCAAAGACATCACAATATTTTAATTGACTGACTTTACATATGCAACCTAACTAAACCTCAATTTCAATGACAGAAATTACATATGGGAATAGGGATAAAATAGTGGCACTCATGATACTTGGTGGCAGATTTTTAAATGTTATGCTGTATTATTTGTAGACCTTTCATTTCAGCTACTTGGAGGGAATGTACAGTATAAACATTCTTGTTCATATAAAAACAGAAAGATTGTTTACAAATCATGTCTTAGTACTTTTGAGGATAAAATGTTTTCATTTTTCATAGTATGCTTGTGTCATTTCACTATTGGTGCACTTCTTTTTCTTAGTAACTGTAGTGAGCTAATTTTGTTACAGTTGAAATCTCACTTTCCAGGCCTGCAATGGACTATTGCCAATCCTCCTCCACTCACCCACTCCGCCTCCTGTCCATGTGATTCCTGCAGATTAATGAATTCTGTGATGTGTACAACTTATAAACATCATCATAATGAAATATAATGTCCAAAGAACATACTTGTTTGATGCAGTTTCCTCCTACACTACATTTTCAATAAGATAAATATGAAGTGGAGTAAAGCAGGGTGACTATATTTATCTCCTCACCCTCAGACACCCCATCTTCATTTATTTATTTACCTGGAGCCAAGTGCACAAAGAAGCAGAGACAGAATTCATTAAATGCCTCTGCTTATATGATGCAGCTAGCAGAAAACCCTGGCAAGTGGGTCTGTTCATGAATCTGGTGCACTGGTGAAAGTGCCTTTTTTGCCACTTTAAGTCCAGAAGAGGGGCAGGAGGATGCCAGCATAGTTCTACGCCAGCCTAAAACATCAGCTTCTGATGAATGCTGAGAACGTATTTCTCTTAGTGAATTTGATAACATTGATGAAATCTGCAAGAGTTTTAACAACAGAAGATATGATGATGAGCCCAGAACTGTATATAAATAGTTTCTTTTTAATTTTTTCCCAGACAATTTGCTTTGTGTTTGTTTATTTCCATATTTGCCCTTAAGTTAATATATTGATGTATTGGGGATTCTTCTTTTTCAAATGAATTATGCTGTGTTTTTGAAGGGGAGGTAATGAATACTTAAGTTGGCTGTCTCTTAATACATTTTCTTCTTGAAGGATTTGCAGCACCTGCAGCAGCTCCAACAACAGAATCTCAACTTGCAACAGTTTGTGCTGGTACATCCTACAACCAACTTGCAACCAGCACAGTTCATCATCTCACAAACGCCGCAGGGGCAGCAGGGTGAGCAAGAAATTTCTGAAAGGATATCGTGGAAATGTTTGCATTAATGTTTTATATTTTAAAGACGTAATTTGAAAATACTTTATTGTGGGGAAATCACCAAGCAGGAACTTTCAGCATCCAAGCATTTATGTTTTAGAAGAAAACTCCTTCCCTTGTTAGGACTATGTGGTGCACATGACTATCTTGTTTAAGAAGGCCTACTATTTTAGGAAGCTGGTTGAAAGTCTTCAGAAATAAATGCATACATTTGTAGAGTGGTAGCCTTGTTTTCCCATCCAACACAAAACATACATGCCTTTGCAATTGTCAGCATTCCCTCAGCAGCATCACTTGCTTGCTAATCAGTGATTTCCAAAAGATACACCCAGTTGACTGAATGGACATTTGCCCAGAAATTCTACTGCTTTTAAGCATGCCATAATTATTATAGAGGAAAGGGAATATGTCTTACTTTCCTCATCAGCATTTCCACAAATCTATGTTAAGGAAATTTTAACAACCAGTTCATAGATAATGATAAGCTACAATTTAGGTGAAAAGATCACAGAAAGAGTGGAATCTTAACTCTGATGCTTTTTAATCCAGGTCTTAAGGGTGAATGATGGCATTGCCTAAAATGACAGGAAGGGGAGCCCAGGGAGCCCCCCCCCCCCAAATTGCCAGATCTAACTGTATTTTTCGGCTGCAGAGCAAAAATGCCATCTGGCTGTGCGCTCATTTTCGGGAGGCACGTGAAAATTGATATGGGGGTCTAATGATATCCGGCCAGCAGAAACAGATAACGGTTCAGCCAAAATGCGCAAGCGCAATACTTACAGTCGGCCGTCCATATTAATGGATTATGCATCCATGGGTTCAACCATCTATGGTTTGAAAATTTTACAAAAAAATTTCCTAAGACCAAACCTTGATTTTGTTACTTTATAAAAGAGACACCATTCTACTATGCCATTGTACATCATGGGATTTGAGCAGCCACGGACATTGGTATCAATGGAGCCAAACTCTTGTAGATACCAAGGGTTTGCTATTAGGCCTGGGTAACAACGGAAAAATTTGTTTCTAAAATCGATTCGTTTTTTGGGGGTTTTTGCGTTTCGTTATTTAAAATAATTACAAAATTTTCCTTTAAAAAAGTTCGGTATTTACGAAATTTCGTAAATGTGAAAAAAATTACAAAACATTAACGAATCGATTTCCGAAACAATAACGAATCGATTCGTTAATGGCGGACGCGACCGCGAAATACGCTAAAAAACCTCCAAAAACTTCTGAAGCTTCCCTCTCCCTCTGTTGTTGACTGTTGGTGTGATATTTTTTTTTTCACTAATTAAACAAAAAACAACCATAAAACTTGCCCCAGACATGCGGAAATAATAACGAAACGACCTCAAAACAATAACGAAACGAATACAATAACGAAATACGAAGCATTTACAAAACTATTTAAAAATTCGTTTTTTTAAAAAAATTGCTCCAGAATGGTTCGTTATCGTTTTGTAATTAAAAAAATTAATGAATTATTAACGAATTACGAATTAACGAAATGAAACCGCCCAGCCCTATTTGCTATACTTTAAAAGTAGGAGTGAACATTTCCAATCTTCTCTTGACTTTGGCCAGTGGAGGAGATGCAAGTGTATAACACCTAGAGGCTCAAGCAAGGTCATTTATAACACAATGTAATATTAAGTTGTAAGTCTACAAAAAACAAAAATCTTTAATACACAGCCAAATGTATTGTAATAGTATGGTATCCAACAATAATTTAGTGACTTCCTCTCCAATAGAACTCTAACTCAGACAAGGAAGACAAGATATCCTTTATCTACCAGTTCTGGCAACACCCCCCCCCCCCCCCCCCCCCCCCCCCCCCCCCCCCGGGTCTAGACAGCTATACCTAGATGGAAGCTTCTTCCTTGGAGGCCTTTAAACAGAGGCTGGGTGGCCATCTGTCAAGGGTTCTTTGAGTGTGCTTTTCCTGTATGGCAGGGGGTTGGACTAGATGGGCCATGTTTTCTCTTCCAGTTCTGTGATTCTATGAATTGATATTTTGGTCATGCAATTATATTTTTTTCATATTTCCTTCTTTGAAAGCATTATGATGCCCCAGAGTTTTTAATATTCCCTTTCCTTCTCTGATTCACTTGTGGGGGTGAGTATGATATGCTTAAAATTGACTGTCTTCATCGATAGACAGAGTTATAAGTGCAGTCTCCCTAAAGAGGTGTACATTCTGTGCCCCCACACAGTGCCATTTTGCAGCAAATCATGAAGATCAAGAGCACTTATATAAACTTGCTTATTAGCATCTTCTTTCTTTAAGGTCTCCTGCAAGCGCAGAATCTCTTAACGCAACTACCTCAGCAAAGCCAAGCCAACCTCCTGCAGTCTCAGCCAAGCATCACTTTCACCTCTCAGGTCAGTCTATTTTTCCCTAGAGGGCCTTGTTTTTATTTGATGTGGTTAGATGGAAATATTTATGCCATGGTGCATAACAAAAGTCTTTGAGCTCATTCTTCTGAATAATGAATGAGTAGCCACATCTCTCTTGAAAAGGTCACTGACAGTTTCTAAATAAACTTGTACTTTGGTTTGACATGTTGCATACAGTTCCTCTTGTGTGCCAAACTGCACTTCCTATTAATCATTCAATTATTGGAAAATTCATTAATGTTCACAAATAAAGTGAGAACAACATATGTTCCAGATACTATTAAAAATAAAATAGCCCATTTACATAGAGATGTTGATAGCTGTTTGATTTGCATGTGTAAAACGGCCATTAGGCCAAACTGAAACTATTACATTATTTCCAGTGGTTGCTTAAGCTATTTATGTTCAGAAAATTTAACTTCAGTTCTGTCTTTTCAGAACACATCTAACACATGATAAGATGTTTTGTCATAATCTTTCTCCTGTATCTTTTTGGTTATTTCTCCCTCCACTTCTCCCCCTATTTACCCCTTGGTATCACAAGCCTTCTTCCCATGGGTCTTCTCCAAAAGTAAAACTGGGATCCAAAACTGTCAGACACCCCCTCCCCAATATTTATTTAAACATGGTATTCCTTCATTCAGTGAAATAAATTAATATTGGGAAACGAGGAGACAGTTTATTAGAAAAAGAAAACATACACGGTCCTAAAAACATATCTAAAACATATCTATATCTAAAAACATTGTACAGGTTGAGCATCCTTTATCCAGAATTCTAAAATCCAGAATACTCCAAAATTTCAAATTGCCCACATTGATAATCAGTAGTTTTATTATTTTGATGAAGTAAAACAGTTCTTTACATTTGTCATCTTTCTCCTTGTTTGCTATTTCATATTTCTTAGCAGCCAGCAACCCCAACGCGCACAATAGCTGCAACCCCTATTCAGCCACTTCCACAGAACCAGTCAACACCAAAGCGAATTGATACTCCCAGCTTGGAAGAGCCCAGTGATCTTGAGGAGCTTGAGCAATTTGCCAAGACATTCAAACAAAGACGGATCAAACTTGGATTCACTCAGGTAAGATTGAAGATCAGATATTTCCCTGGAAGACCATTGTTCACACCTAGAAGAAATAGGTCCAGGCCTGTAGCGAGGGGGGGGGGGGTTAGGGGGTCAACACCCCACCCTGAAACTTTTCAAGTTAAAAAAAACCTGGTTTACTCATGAATTTTAACTGGTTAACCAAATCCCCATGCTAAGTCTATGAGACACAAAAAGTTAAAAGTCCCTCCAGATCTGCAAGCACTATCTCAAGCAAATATTGACAATTTATTCACACTGTCATTACTTGCAACAATAGCCGATGTAGCAAAGCAACCAAGTTGGGGGGGGGGGATTAATGCTCTCATTAAGGAGGCCAGACTTGGTGGAGGTGGTTGACAGGGGCGGAGCTGCAGGCTATTGAAGGCTGCTCTGCCCTGCTGTGCTCTTTGCTTCAGCGTGAGCTAAGAGGCAGGTTTCAAACCCCCCCCCCCCCCCCCGAAATTTTCAACTCTCCCTGAATTTTTTTTCTGGCTACGGCCCTGAATAGGTCTGCCATTTTTCATTTCTTATGCAGGCCCATATGACTGTCTGTTTGAGGGATTTTCAGGTTTCCATGCATAATTATCCACCTTTTCAATTATTATGCATCCTCTAAAAATTAGTGCTGAAATTAATTAGTTGCTATTTGAGAAGCCTAAGTGCTGCTGTAGGGCTTCTGATGAAACTCTTGTGATAATCCCAGAGAGAAGAGCAATGACCAATCTCGATAAAATAGTTAAGAGAGGAGACATCACACTGGCAATGAAGATCCGCATAGGTAAAGCAATGGTATTCCCCATAGTAACCTATGAATGTGAGAGCTGGACTAAGGAAGGTTGAGTGAAAGAAGATAGACACTTTTGAACTGTTGGAGCAAAATTCTGAGACTGCAAGAAGATCAAACCAGTCCATACTGCTGGAAATAATGCCCAACTGCCCACTGGAGGAAAGAATATTAGAGGAAAAGATGAAGTACTTTGGCCACATAATGAGAAGACAGGAAAGCTTGGAGAATATAATGATGCTGGGGGAAATGGAAGGAAAAAGGAAGAGTGGCCGACCAAGGGCAAGATGGATGGATTTTATCCTTGAAGTGACTGGCTTGACCTTGAAGAAGCTGGGGTTGGTGACAGCGACAGGCATGGTATGGTCCATGAGGTCACAAAGAGTCGGAAGCGATTGAACGAATAAACAACAACACATCCCCCACAGATCTTAGAGCTCAGACAGACTCACAGGAGAAGATGCGGTCCTTCAATTGTTTTAAACTGCTTTTAAATTTTGTTAGATTTTAGCTATTCTTGTAAGCCGCTCCGAGCCCCAGGGGAGTGGCGGCATATAAGTTTAAATAATAAATAAATAAATAAAAATAGCCAGGGCCTGAGCCGTATAGAGATTTATAGGCCAAAACCAGGACTTTGAATTGTGCCCAGAAACAGATTGGCAGCTAGTGAAACTGTTTCAACAAGGAAGCTGTATGGCCATCGTCTTGTTAGTTATCTGGCTGCACAATCTTTTTCTGTTCTGCCCATTCCTTCTTGGGGCCCTTCCAGACAGGTCCTATATCCTTGGATCTGATTCCAGGTTTTCCACTTTAAACTAGATTATATGAGTCCCCACTGCCAGATAATTTGGGATAAACAGTTAAGAAAACCTGGGACCAGATCCTGGGATTTAGAGCCTGTCTGGTAATCCTAGATAAAGAAATACTCTTAAGCAGTATTTCTTTAATACTCTAACTTTACTCTTTCTTGATAAGATTTTTTTAATGCTCAGGAATCTCCAAGTGTCCTTGGATAACATTTTATATGGATCTATTGGAAGTATTTGTGTTGGTTAATGATAATTGCTTCAGTTATCTAAATGGATGTACTTTGCTATCAGGAAAACAAGGTCAGTTTCAATCTCCTTGTTTATCTTGGATAACTGAGACCCAATATTGATGACCCATTATGATGCACCTTTTCACATGTATACACTTCTGGGAGAAAAGTAACTGAAATTGTGTTGAATGAATATCCTATGTTACAACCTAATAATTCCTCAACTGAGATAAGGCAAAAATGTCACTTAAAGACAGAAAGTCACCCAAGGTCATGGGTATCTTCTACTACTTGTCTATTCGATAATAAAACATTTCACCAATAGGATGCCCAACTGCATAGTATTTACTTAACCATCCTATTGTACAAGCTATATACATAATTAGTTTTTAATGATAGTGATTGCTTAATTATGTAAGAGAGTAGTAATTAGAAAAGCTAAGTAATAAAGATTAAATTCTCATAATGAGATTTTGTGTGTGTTCGAGGGTGAAGAGAAGAAAGAAAGAGAAAGAATTATTTGCCAGTGGCACAGTAGGTTACTTTCAGGCTTTTGCAAATTTATTGTTTTGTCTTTTGGAAATAATTACTAGGTCTTAGTTTATATAGAATACTAATTGCTTATTACATTTTGGTTTTCAAGGAATAATTTCTTTGTTCAAAATGGGGCTTTACAGTTTAAAAATCTATGGAAGCAATTTGTAGTTTAAGTGGTTTTATTATTCAGTTCTTTTGTAATGTGCACAAAGATGCTGGTTACCTACATCATGGGAATTATTTGATATGCTACACTCTTTTTTCTGTTGTAAAAATATCAGGAGTTTTCTCATTTTGATCTCTCACATGTGTATGTTTAGAACCAGTGTTCTGCTTCTTGAAGAAGTTTTCAATCAATCAGTTGAGATCATTCAGTATTTCAAAACAATGTTTATTTTCACTCATGAGACAGGAAGATTCTAGAATCTTCTTTTCAAGTCCTTTGTACATAACATTTCAATAAATCAGGTTCCTTGTTGACTTTAAAATTAAGAGGCCTACTAATAATTAGGAAATTTGTCATCAAAGATACAGAATTTAGGGCATCATCTGGTGCGTAGTTACCATTTTTATTCATTTTGCTAACTTAGCTGTAAGGTGGCCTGCCATGTGCAGTTTTAACAATAGCTGTCAGAAATGTGACATTCATAAGGATAATTTTATTAAACTGAAAGCAATAGAAACACCCAGATAGAAGAAATTTGGATAGATCTCAGTTATGTATTTACTGATGCACTCATAATGAGATTAATTTTACATATAAATAAAAAGCAGTGTTTCTGTAAAGGTATGTGTTGTTTTAAATATGTTTCCTTTTAAACCCTTTAGGGTGATGTTGGGCTCGCTATGGGTAAACTCTATGGAAATGACTTCAGTCAAACTACTATCTCTCGCTTTGAAGCCTTGAACCTCAGCTTTAAGAACATGTGCAAGTTAAAACCACTTCTGGAAAAGTGGCTCAATGATGCAGGTGAATTGTTGTCTGGGTTTTGGACAAATATGTCACAATATATCTCTCAAAAATCTGGGCTTGTATTCTCTTTTTGGAGGTGGGGTTGGGCTTTGCAAGAATTGTGTTGTCAAAGGCTTTCATGGCCGGAATCACTGGGTTGTTGTAGGTTTTTTCGGGCTGTTTGGCCACGTTCTAGAGGCATTCGCTCCTGACGTTTCGCCTGCATCTATGGCAAACATCCTCAGAGGTAGTGAGGTCAGACCTCACTACCTCTGAGGATGCTTGCCATAGATGCAGGCAGAACGTCAGGAGAGAATGCCTCTAGAACATGACCATATTTGCAAGAATTATTGCAAAGGTTTTCAGACTCTTCATCCATTATAAAAAGATAAAAGTTTCCCCTGACATTAAGTCTAGTTGTGTCCAACTCTGTGGAGTGGTGCTCATCTCCATTTCTAAGCCAAAGAGCCGACACTGTCCATAGACATTTCCAAGGTCATGTGACCAGCATGGAGTGCTGTTACCTTCCTGTAGGAGCAGTATCTATTGATCTACTCACATTTTCATGTTTTCAAACTGTTAGGTTGGCAGAAGCTGGGCCTAACAGCGGTAGCTCATCCTGCCTCCAGATTCAAACTGCCAACCTTTCAGTCAGAAAGTTCAGCAGCTCAGTGGTTTAACCCGCTGCACCATCAGGCGGCCCTTTCATCCATAATACAAGGCAAATATACAAGATAAGGATTTATGACTGTTACCATCATCAGTTTTTCAGAAGAATCTTATACTTTGCTGACACATGTGGAGCATATTTTAAGATAATTCTATTACTTTTTTCAAAACTCAATCATTATAAATGATCTTTATATTCTTAAGACTGTGCAATGCTTACAAATATAAGGGTTAAAAGTGCTAACTAATATACATCAGAAGTTATTATTTTCTACAAAATAGGTTCGCATGCAATTGAGAGTTAATCAAATTTGATTTCCCAGAACAAATTTTTAAAACCTAAGCAGGAAATAGTGTTTTTGTAAGTTTCATTAGTGGGGCTTCTATTAGACAGGGTCGATAGATTTGGATTCTGGGTGTTCTTTATGTTTTCAGAATAGTTTTAATCAACCAGAAGGAAATATTACCTCACACCCACTTTTACCACCATGACTTGAAATGTGCTGCCAGGATTTCAGAATCCATAGAATATTGCAATGTTTATGCATTAGTCTGGGCAACAGCCCCTATATAAGCTTCCATTTATACATCACATTCTAGTTGCATTAACTCCTTTTTCAGAAAACCTCTCATCTGATTCAGCTCTCTCCAGTCCAAGTGCCCTGAATTCCCCAGGGGCTGAGGGCTTGAACCGTAGGAGGAAGAAACGCACCAGCATAGAGACCAACATACGTGTGGCCTTAGAGAAGAGTTTCCTAGAGGTCAGTACATCTGTTGCGCTGTGCTTTGCTTTAACTGTGTTGTACTGTAGCAGTGCAACATGAAATGATAAAGTGAAGGAAAAATGGTACAGAATAAGTTGTCAGTTTTATTTGTTTTTTGTTGTTATTTGCCATGAAGTCAGATCTTTCTTTCCCACCTCTTTCCATGTCACCAAGCATTATCTTTTAGTATATATTTTCCCTGTGTATATTTGTTATATATGTTTTTAATAGTGTTTCATTTTATCTAATTGTTTTAACTATGTTGTACCCCGCTTTTTGCCGTCTCCTCCTCCTCCTCCTTCTCATCTTGTGTCATAATGTGCCTAAAGAACTTTATCCCAAATTTACTCGTTTTGGCTTCTAGAGACAATTCAGGCTTGATTTATCAGAATTGTTTTCTATTACCTGATTTCCTCATAGTTGCTTATCTAGTAATCATTGGTTGATACAATGCACTTGATACAATAAATGAATCATTGAAATACTTTGTACTTATTTTTCCTGTCTAACAAATAAAAGATTTTTATTTATTGTATCAGGAGTGAACCAATGTATTTGAGAAAACACAGAGTTTAAAAACTTGGTGTTAGCAGATTAACCAACTTCAAATGATTTTTCTGTCAGAACCAAAAGCCTACCTCGGAAGAGATCACTATGATAGCTGACCAGCTAAACATGGAGAAAGAGGTGATCCGTGTTTGGTTCTGTAACCGGCGCCAGAAGGAAAAAAGAATCAACCCACCCAGCAGTGGTGGGACCAGCAGCTCACCCATCAAAGCAATGTTCTCTTGTCCAACTTCATTGGTAAGAATTAGAAACTATTTACAGTGTACCAGACAGGAAAAAGTCATCACTTTTTCCATCTTGATAACACTATGTAACAATATTTTAAACATTTTCTGTTCTTGGTTTGAAAGTGTTATTTCCTGTTTAATTGTGCAGTACTTACTTTGAAAGTAGTTGTTATACTTCAGAAACTTCGTTTTTGTGGCTGCCACAAAGTATATTGAATTAGTTGAGACTCTGTGAGATATTCATTGAAAAACTATAGCCAAATGTTCTGCAGAATGTCCCACAAAAACAAAGTTTTGCAGTTGAATAAACCTTTTCCATGTTTTTATGATAGAACCAATTGTCAAATGACATTTATAACCCAGGAACAAAAGTCATTTTACATAGTACAATGAATTTGGCCTTGGTTTTATCTCTAGAAATGTCCAAATCTGGCATGGATCCTGCATCAAGAGACATAGCTCCAACAACAAAACTCTGCTGTTATAACTTCCTCTCCTCGTACAGCTGCCCCTCGCCTCAAACCATTTTAGGAGCCATGCAGCCCACTATCATTGGGATTATCATAGCACTGAGGAGTGGAGCAATGTACATTCTTCTCATGGCAGCAAGGTGCTTTTTGACAGGCAACTAGAGGGGCTCTTATAAGGCCCTATTGCAACTGCTTGTCAGAGCATACCTTGCTCTTCTTCACTCACAGTCCTCTCCTGAGAGCCCTGTAAACTCTTATATTGGTGGAGCTACCTGGCTTTTAAGGTGGACTTTGGTGGACATTTTTGTACATTGGTGCAACAACTGTAAATGTAAATTCAAGAATCGACAATGTTTGCAAGGTCAACTTACGATATTGTAATATTTGGAACAGGATGCCAACGCTGCAATTTAATTATATTCAGTGCACAATGCATTGCTGCTACAAACTGTCACATTCACACCTTGCTTGATTCATGCATCACTTATTCATCGTTGCCTCTGATGCCTGTTTGCTTTCATTCAGTTTAAGTTAGATTTAATAGTGTTCTGGATAAAAACAGCAATAATACAGTCCCAAGCTTCATCTAGTGCAAGCATGGGCAAACTTATATGCCCTGGGGCCACCTTTTGGACCCAGCTGCAAGGGGAGGGATGGAGCAGGAAGGGGCAGGGCCAGAAGGGGCAAGGTGAGTGAAAGGGTGGGGCTGGGACTGGGGCCAGGAAAGGGAAGGGTCGGGTCTCTCTCCAGGGAGACAAACATGCCACTGCCAATTGGCAATGGCATGTTCCTCTCCCCGGCTCTTCTGAGCCCCAGGAAGGCAGCAGCCTGCCTTCCTCAGGCCCAGAAGAGGGAGATAAACACACTGCTGCCAAGAGGTGGTGTGTTTGTCTCCCCGGCTCTTCTCCGGGCCTACCTTCCTCGGGCCCAGAGGAGGGATAGAAACACACTGCTGTCAAACATGCCTGGCAGCAGCATGTTCTTCTCACCAGCACTTCTCATGGTCCCAGCCCACCTTCCTCCGGCCCAGGAGAGGGAGATATATATACTGCTGTGGATTGCTCTCCAGAGAGCACTTGGTAGAGGCGTGTCTCTGCCTCGGTCCTCCTCTCAGTCTGGGGACACAGCAGGCTACTGCATTTGCATACTGAAGGGGAGGCCGAAGTAGATAGGATCGGGACAAAGAGCTCAAAGGGCCATGACCTGCCCGCGGGCCCGGGTTTGCCCATGTCTAATTTAGTGAAACCCCAAAGCTGTGAAGCTCTGTTGTTGGCACCTTCTGTTCTTCTTGATACCTAGAAAAAAGGAGGTAAGCAATGTTTTTCTAAAGAACCCTGCTGTTCCATTCTGACCTCTAGGTGGCAACCACACCAAGCCTTGTGACAAGCAACGCAGCTACAACCCTGACTGTCAACCCCGTGCTCCCTCTCACCAGTGCAGCTGTAACTAGTCTGGCAGTTACAGGTAGGAATCCATTTAAGTTTCATGATTATTCATGCTGCTTCTGCAGAAAAGGTCTTGCCATTACTGTTGCAAAGACAGAAATTTAGCTGTTAATTAAACAGATTAGTAGTATTCAGACTTTTTTAACGAGTCCCATGTTTTAGTATACTCAGATTCAAAAAGGCAGAAAGCTTTGTACGTAAGCTTTGTAGATATATTGTATATAAGGCTGATCCTTGTTTTCTACTCTTTAAAAATTGTGATAATCATTGCCATTTTGGAACACATTGACATTTTTATAATAATTGTTTTGACACTGGCTCAGTTTTATTAACACAGCCCAACAAAAACACCTTTTTCTTGGTGTCCTGGTTTTTAGGCCCTGTCCTTGGGTTATTTGGGGTGCTGATTCAGAAAAATGGTTTGGATACAAAACATAGAATCATAGAATAATAGAGTTGGAAGAAACCACATAGGCCATCTAATCCAACCCCCTCTCATGCAGGAAAAGCACAACCAGAGTATCCCAACAGATGGCCATCCAGCCTCTATTTAAAAGCTTTCCAGAAGGAACTTCCACCACACTTTGAGGCAGAGTGCTCCACTGCTGAACGGCTCTTATAGTCAGGGAGTTCTTCCTAATGTTCAGGTGGAATTTCTTCTCCTGTAATTTGAACCATTGCTCTTAGATATGGTTATCATGGATTTTCTATGTGGCAGCAGTTGAGTATGGCATAAGTTCTGTACCTCAAACACTAGAGCTGATAGGGGAAACTGCTGCCATTTTTGGAAGCAGCAGGCCAAATATACCCTGAAATAGGTCAGAGATTTGAGGCCCCAAAATGCGTGTTGTCCAATGTAATCTTTTGGGGATTGAGATTGACCTAAATGCATTTTCATAGAATCATAGAGTTGGAAGAGACCTCATGGGCCACCCAGTCCAACCCCCTGCCAAGAAGCAGGACAATCGCATCAAAGCACCCCTGACAGATGGCTATCCAGCCTCTGTTTAAAAGCCTCCATAGAAGGAGCCTCCACCACACTTCAGGGTAGAGAGTTCCACTGCTGAACAGCTCTCACAGTCAGAAAGTTCTTCCTAATGTTCAGGTAGAATCTTTTTTCCTGTAGTTTGAAGCCATTGTTCCACGTCCTAGTCTCCAGGGCAGCAGAAAACAAGCTTACTCCCTCCTCCTTATGACTTTCCCTCACATATTTATACATGGCTATCATGTCTCCTCTCAGTCTTCTCTCCTTCAGGCTAAACATGCCCAGTTCTTTAAGCCACTCCTCATAGGGCTTGTTCTCCAGACCTTTGATCATTTTAGTCATGCTCCTCTGACACATTCCAGCTTGTCAATATCTCCCTTCAACTGCGGGGCCCAGAATTGGATACAGTATTCCAGATGTGGTCTAACCAAGGCAGAATAAAGGGGTAGCATGACTTCCCTGGATCTAGACACTATACTCCTATTTATGTAGGCCAAAATCTCATTGGCTTTTTAAGCTGCTGCATGACATTGTTGGCTAATGTTTAAATTTTTATACTCCCTTTTTTACTAGCCTATTTTAAAAATATCAACATATGTAGTTTTAGAATAATAAATAATAACTGTATTCCTAAAAATAGCCTGCTAGCCTGTTTCATAAAAAGATACAAAGGATTCCAGTAGCACTTTTGAGACTGACTGGTTAAAATAAATTTCTAATATGGAGTGAAGCTTCAGTGGACAAAAGTGGGGCCTGGGAGAGAGTGAGAAAGAGGGAGGGATGGAGAAATGTAATCGAAATGCCAAACATAATGGTTTGGTGATAACTATGGATTTAAAACTGTTAAAAACAAAGGTAAGGAAATAGGTTTTTCATACAAGCATAGATAAGCACATAAATGTGTGCAGTGGAGGAAAGCCTAGTGCATTGGTGAATGTACACAACCAACACAATTTTGTCATAAAATGGGCATGACAGAATCCTATTGTGTGTGTAGCTATGATGAAAGTGGGGCGGGGAGGGGGGAGATTAAAAGTCGTAGTACTGTAGCAATGATGATGTGTACAGATATAGTTTCAGCTGTGGGAACTAGTGTAAGGCAATGGCATGAAACTGAATTATAAATCAGAAATCTCTAGTTTAAATCTTGTTTTTCCCACAAGCTCAGCATGAGAGACTGTTTAGGAGAGAGGAAATGGACAGAAATTCCCTCCTTCCTCCACTTTCTATCAGCAGGAGACTCCACGGGATCAAAGGTTCTTTCATAAACAGAGGATTTGTTCCATTTTCAGAAGACAAATTCTGTGTATGATCCACTGGTTTATATAATACACAAAGAACTTTGAGGTTTTATAAGTTATGAAAATATTAGTTACCCTTTCTCTTTTTCAAGAGTTCAAAGGTGACGGCTGGCCCACAGCACCACCAGCATGCAAATATAGAAAATACTGAGGAAACAAAACTCAAACAAAGAAAAAATAGCTCAATGAAGATTTATTGTGCTGATTGACACAGAATGAAGACTGATACTTGAATGTTAGGGGAGAGACAGAAGAGCAGGAGGGTGGAATAGAGCTTTCTGGGACCAATGCACACTAGAATTTTCTTCTTGGTGCTGCAATGTCTGGCTCACCAAGACAGCTTAAAATATACTTCACATTGTGTTGTCTTAATCTTATTTCTCCCTCGGAATTCTATATTTTTTCAGACCACCCTTAATCATTTCTTCTACACCAGTGGTTCTCAACCTGTGGGTCCCCCATGTATTTTGACCTATAACTCCCAGAAATCCCAGCCAGTTTATGAGCTGTAAGGATTTCTAGGAGTTGAAGGCCAAAGTATCTAGGGATCGACAGGTTGAGAAACACTGTTCTACACCAACTTCATGATTTTAGTTTTTGTGAGATATTGGATTGTGCATTCCATTCTAGCAATATTAAAGGATTTCATTAGAAGGGAAGCGGGGGAAAGCGTTCGGAAGTCTTCCCCTGTTCTCTCTTGGCAAGGTCTGTCTTCAGGGATGGCCAGCCATCCCAAAACCTTTCCCTCGCTTTCCCCCGCTTTCTGGAATCCTGAGAACAGAGCCGTCTCTTCCTTTTACCACGCTAGCAAGACGGATTCCCATGCATGGCCACCAGAAGTGGCTGTGCATCATGGGATGGCCTCCATAGGACTCCTTTTTGCCAGCATGCAAAACAGAGAAAATTGAGGGACGCATCCATGTGATGAGGTCTTAAATCTGCCAGCGCGAATGATTTCAAAAATATGTTTCTTCATTTTCAACTTTAGGAACAGAAGGAGTGGACTTGTAGCTAGGAAATATGTCCTTGTCCTCTGAGTCCACTTCTTATAATATAGTGCATTGGTATTTGGTGCATGATCGTGCCATTTGTTTGAAATGTTGGTACTATTGTCACATGTATGTGACCGAGGAGATTTAGAATGAAAAAATAGTAGGTTTGGAATGCACCACAAATTTCACCTAGTCCAGCCTCCTGCTAAAGAGCTGCAGCTAAAAGGCTACAACTTGTAAAATGTTAAGGAGAATGACAAACGCATGTCAATAGGAAGATAGGGCAAACATTATTTATTATTTATTATTTACTTCATTTATATACCGCTTTTCTCAGCCCTTAGGCGACTCAAAGCGGTTAACAACCACAGTTTCAATACACACATTACAAAATCATTGGAACATTTAAAAGCAATAGCATAACAACAATTAAACATCAATATGACAAATCATTCACGTCTCATCAATAGAATCATGAAAAAACCTGGCAGAAAAGGTAAAGTAAAATACCATAAGTGTCATCTGAGACGGTTAGGTCAGCAGCCATATGACTAGTAGTGATTACCCAGTGCAGATTGGTCAAGAACAAATCCTGCCTAATGAATACTATAACTTTTTTTCTTTATTGTGTCACTAATTAAGTAAATGGTGGGAATACTGGGGTGCCATTTATCTGGGTTTCAGAAAAAAAAACATTTGATAAGCAAACATACTAAATATGAAATAGATTGGAATACAGCCTGATGAATCGAATTGGTTAGAAAACCAAGCTCAAACTGGAAAAACATCTTTCGTGGAGTGCTGCAAGGTTCTGTCCTCAGACCATTACTCTTCCAAAAAAAGCGTTAGATCAGGGGTTCTCAAACTTTTAAAGCCATGGAGCCCTTTTTAAAGGAAAAGTTTATCACAGAGCCCTAAGAAACTTTTGGACACGGGTCGCCTCACATTTTAAAATTTGACAGATGGGCCAGGCCCGTGGAAGATGGATGGAGAATGTTTGTGTGAACTAATAGGAAAAAAAAATATGACTTCTCTGCCACAACAGTGTTAGGAACAAAAGGCAAAGAACAGTAAAAATAAAAAAGCCAGGGTCATATGCTTTCTTCACAAGATAAATGGGAACGTTATTAACAGAGATGGGGAGTGTATATTGTAAATAAGATTTTGTGGAAATAAAGTAGTCCTATATTTGCCATGTTACATTTTAGAGAATAATGAAGCATCCATGCTAAAATAGCTTAAAGACATGCTGCATCATGATGTTTAACATCAGAAGAGAGCTTTGGAGTAGAGAAATATTGCTGTGTCATTAGCATAAAATAACATAAAATATATTGAAAATTATATGAACCGATATGATTACTTAAAATAGTGTATAAAGAGAAAACTGCAAAGAACCCAGAAAAAAGCCCCAAGGAACACCAACTGAAAGGTGAAAGTAAAAAAGATGCGTAACCTCTAGATGCTATATTAAATAACTGACCTAAGAGATAAGACATGAACCATTTGAAAACTGAATCAATAAACCTTAAGTCCTGAAGTGAATCCAGCAAAAGAGCAGGCCGGGGCTCACCAGGCCATGAGTGGGGCGGAAGCGCCCAGGCTGGGGCTCACCAGGCCTTTAGTTTCATATGCAAGGGGGAGCGGGGGGTGCGGACCCCTAAGGGCTTCACGGAGGACAGTATGAGAACCTCTGAGTTAGATGATGGGATATAGCAGTGGTTCTCAGGCTGTGGGTTCCCAGGTGTTTTGGCCTACAACTCCCAGAAATCCCAGCCAGTTTACCAGCTGTTAGGATTTCTGGGAGTTGAAGGCCAAAACATCTGGGGAACCCATAGGTTGAGAACCACTGGGATAGACAAAATCATTTTCAGGCTTATGAATAATATTGAACTAGGAGAGGTAGCTAACACATTGAAAGATAAAAACAGAATTCAAAAGGACTTTGATAAACTAGGAAATTATATGTAAATTAATACAATGATATTCAACAGAAACAAAAACAACATTCTATATTTTGGTCAGAAAAATCAAATGACCTGGCATAGGATGGAGGATATTTGGCTTGGCAGTACTATGTGCGGAAAGGACCTTAGTATTGTTGATGATCATTAGTTGAATATGATCCAACACTGCAGTGCTGCAGCAATGAAAGCAAATAATATTTTACCCTACATTCATAGAATCATAGCTTCCAAGCCAAGGAAAAAAATAGTCCCACTAGTCAGGCATCATCTGAAGTACTGTATTTACCGTATATTCCGGCATATAAGACAACTGGGCGTATAAGACGACCCCCAACTTTTCCAGTTAAAATATAGAGTTTGGCATATGCTCGCCGTATAAGACCACCCCTCTTCCAATGCACAATAAATAAACATTTTAAAAAATCAGATTTGAATTCAATATGGTAATTTTAATTCAAATGCTTATGACATGCAGGTTCCTATGAGAGGGACATTGTACCTTACATTGGACATTATAGTTGTTCTTCCTCCCTTGAATTTCATTTACACTCTGGGTCCTTTATATCATGCTGGCAAGTATGAAAGCAGGCTTTAAATGGTTCACATTACATTTATGTTGGCATAGAAGCTTGCATGCAAATAGAAGTCAGGCTTTGTACGATGAGTACTGAGGTGAAGGCAAAGCATTTGTAGAATTTTTATCTATAAGCAGTCTTTATAAATCAGGACCTCCTATCAGAAGAGAGGGGCAGATTGGACCCTCATCCTTCAGAAATGTAGCATTTGGCATGGCACATGTTTACTTGGTCACATCTTGACATGTCTTCATCCTTAAATCACCGTGACAGCTTGAATTGTTTTAGAGTTTCTCAAGAACACAGCCAGGTGATGTTTAATTGTTAGAAGGGGAAAAGAGATCAGAAAAGAGGAAGGGACCCTGGGTCAATAAGAGCTTTCCAGTTTGACTTCTGTCAAAAATGAAATGCAAAGATACAGGATTGGGGACGCGTGGCTCGAGAGCGGTATGTGTGAAAAAGATCTTGGGGTCCTTGTGGACAACAAGTTAAACATGAGCCAACAATGTGGTGCAGTGGCAAGAAAAGCCAATGGGATTTTGGCCTGCATCAATAGGAGTCTAGTGTCTAGATCCAGGGAAGTCATGCTCCCCATGCTCTATTCTGCTTGGTTAGACCCACCTGGAATTACATTGTGTCCAATTCTGGGCACCACAACTGAAGGGAGATGTTGCAAGCTGGGATGTGTCCAAAGGAGGGTGACTAAAATGATCAAGGGTCTGGAGAACAAGCCCTATGAGGAGTGCCTTAAGGAGCTGGGCATGTTTAGCCTGAAGAAGAGAAGGCTGAGAGGAGACATGATGAGAGCCATGTATAAATATGTGAAAGTCATAGAGACAGAGGATCAAGGGTCTGGAGAACAAGCACTATGAGGAGTGGCTTAAAGAGCTGGGCATGTTTAGCTGAAGAAGAGAAGGCTGAGAGGAGACATGATAGCCATGTATAAGTATGTGAGAGAAAGTCATAGGGAGAAGGGATCAAGGGTCTAGAGCACAAGTCCTATGAGGAATGGCTTAAAGAGCTGGTCATGTTTAGTCTGCAGAAGAGAAGGCCAAGAGGAACCATGATGACCATGTACAAATATGTGAGGGGAACTGGAATGTGTCCAGAGGAGGGCGACAAAAATGATCAAGGGTCTGGAGAACAAGCCCTATGAGGAGTGGCTTAAAGAGCTGGGCATGTTTTTAGCCTTAAGAAGAGAAGTCTGAGAGGAGACATGATAGCCATGTATAAATATGTGAGAAGAAGTCATAGGGAGGAGAGAGCAGGTCAAGGGTCTGGAGATCAAGCCCTATGAGGAGTGGCTTAAAGAGCTGGGCATGTTTAGCCTGAAGAAGAGAAGGCTGAGAGGATACATGATGAGAGCCATGTATAAATATGTGAGAGGAAGTCATAGGGAGGAGAGATGATCAAGGGTCTGGAGAACAAGCCCTATGAGGAGTGGCTTAAAGACCTGGGCATGTTTATCTGACGAAGAGAAGGCTGAGAGGAGATATGATAGCCATGTATAAATATGTGAGAGGAAGCCACAGGGAGGAGGGAGCAATCAAGGGTCTGGAGAACAAGCCCTATGAGGAGTGGTTTAAAGAGCTGGGTATGTTTAGTCTGAAGGAGAGAAGGCTGAGAGGAGACATGATGAGAGCCATGTATAAATATGTGAGAGGAAGTCATAGGGAGGGCGCAGGGAGGGAGGGGGCGAGGAGGAGGAGCGACAGCCTTTGCTACCAATCTGGCAGTGTGGTAGCCTACTGGGCTGTCTTCATCCTCGCCGGCATTGACTTGGCTCCGCCTCCGGCCTCCATCTCAGAACAGCTGATGCAGGAGGGAGCCAAAGTCAGAGGGGTGGGGGCGGGGCCTCTGGCTGCTCCGCCCCCCCCCTGGTTCCGCCCCCCCCCCCCACCGCTCCGGCTTCAGCTCCTGCTGCTTTACCAGGCCGGCGGGGGTGTTTGCATGCTATGCTGTACTGTCCCCTCCGCCACTGGTCTGCTGCTAGCTCCGCCTCTGGCCTCAAGTTCAGAGCAATTGCCGAGGGAACCAAAACTGGAGCGTGGGCGGGGCCGCGAGAGGCGGGGTCCTCTTCTCCCACTACCTCCCCGCTCCGGTATTGGTTCCCTCGGCAGTTGCTCTGGCTTTGAGGCCAGAGGTGGAGCTAGCAGCAGACCAGTGGCGGAGGGGACAGCACAGCATGCAAACACCCCCGCCGGCCTGGTAAAGCAGCAGGAGTTGAAGCCTCCGCAGGGGGGCGGGACCGGGGGCGGGACCCTCTGCAGGGGCGGGGCGGAGCAGCCAGAGGCCCCGCCCCCGCCCCTCCGGCTTTGGCTCCTGCAGCAGCTGTTCTGGGATTAGAGGCCGGAGGCGGAGCCAAGTCAATGCCGGCGAGGGTGAAGACAGCCCAGTAGGCTACCATGCTGCCAGCTTGGTAGCGAAGCCTGCCGCTGCTCCTCCTCGCCCCCTCCCTCCCTCCCTCCGCCCTCCCTCCTCCTCAGGCTCCACCACGCGGGGATGGCCAGGGCGAGGGAGACGAGGGAAAAATGATGCCAAAAAATGTATACCGGGGTACAAGATGACTCCCCACTTTTGAGATGATTTTCCTGGCTTAGAAAGTCGTCTTGTACCCCGGAATATACAGTAGTTCTGGGCACCATATTCATAATAAAGATATCTTTAGGGCAGGTTTCAAATAAAACAATGCATTGCAGAGTTCAAAGCAGGTTGAAAACAAAACATTGCAAGTAAAAGCAGCTTAAAATAGCATCACTATACTTGAGAGAAGAAAACGTTTGAAAAATGAACAACATCCCTATTGAAACCAATGTGCACTCAGACTTTGTCCAGGCATATCTAGTATTTGTATTAATTAAAATAATCATTTCAGGCACCACAGAAACCATCCCCAACAATACAGCAACTGTGATTTCTACAGCACCTCCAGCATCCTCGGCAGTAACTTCACCATCCCTAAGTCCCTCTCCTTCTGCTTCCACTTCTGAAGCATCTAGTGCCAGTGAGACCAGCACAACACAGACAACTTCCACTCCCTTGTCCTCAGCAGTTGGGACCAGTCAGGTGATGGTAACTGCTTCTGGGTTGCAAACGGCAGCGGCAGCTGCACTGCAAGGAGTTGCCCAGTTGCCAGCAAATGCAAGTCTTGCTGCCATGGCAGCTGCAGCAGGGCTAAGTCCAAACTTGATGGCATCCTCACAGTTTGCAGCTGGGTAAGTACTTTCTATTTTAAAGACTAATCTGAACATTTTTAAAAAAAAACATGGAAAAAATTTACATTTTTTACATAGTTCATTTTTATGTTTTAGTTATATTTGTTTTACTTAATTATTCTCTTAAGCATCTTGAGTCTCATTTTCTTGGAAGAAAGAGAATTGAAATTGAACAAGTGAATGAATAATACAATTTTACAGTTCTTGGTGAGAAGACAAAATGAATATTACAATGTTTTTAAAAATGAATATTAAAATGGGTTGCTGTGAGTTTGTATGGCCATGTTCCAGAAGCATTCTCTCCTGATATTTTGCCCACATCTCTGACATGCATCCTCAGAGATTGTGAGGTCTGCTGGAAACTACGCAAGTGGGGTTTATATATCTTTGGAATGTTTAAGGTGGGAGAAAGAACTCTTGTCTGTTGAGGCAAGTGTGAATGTTGTGATTGGCCACCTTGATTAACATTGCAGCTTCAAGCCTGGCTGTTTCCTGCCCGGGGGAATCCTTTGTTGGAAGTTTTAGCTAACCCTGATTGTTTTCTGTCTGGAATGCCCCTGTTTTGTGAGTGTTGCTCTTTATTTACTGTCCTGATTTTAGAGTTTTTTAATACTAGTAGCCAGATTTTGTTCAACAGTTTCCAATAGACCTCACAATCACTTAAGATGCCTGCTATAAATGTGGCTGAAACATCAGGAGAGAATGCTTCTGGAACATGACCATACAGCCCAGAAAACACACAGCAACCCAGTGATTCTGGCCATGGAAGCCTTGGACAACACATTTAATATTGAAATGCTGACAAGATCAAAACATTTGACTAAGGAACGCTTACACTTGGCCCTTAAATTATTTCTCTCTAAAACAGTATCTGAACAATTCATATTCTTCAACTTGTTTTTGTATTCTGTTTTGCAATTTCAGAGGTGCCTTACTCAGTCTCAATCCAGCCACCCTGGGCGGTGCTCTCAGCCCAGCACTGATGAGCAACAGTACACTGGCAACTATTCAAGGTCAGTAGACAATGCTATATGTCCTTTCCTCCTAACATTTGTATTTCTTTCTATTGTTTTTTCTTCTTCTGTAAAGTACAGGAGACTAAGGTTGTACCTCCACACTGAACTTGGAAAACTCTATTGGATAGGAAGCTTAGAAGTAAACATTTAATTTATCTATCTCACCCAGTCCTAATGACAACCACTTGTGGTTCATCTCCAACCTCTTCATTCCCGAGCCTCAAGGTCTTCTGATTTCATGACTATAGTCTTCATTTTCATTTATTACTGAACTTTACAGACTCATTTACAATGCTGATGTCTTCATTATCCACTTGTAGATTATATATAACTCGTTTTCTTAATAGTAATCTGAAACCCTGCTTTTCCACCTCCTTACCTTTCACCATTAGTTTCTGAGTTTTTACTATTTATTACTAGCAATATGGTAATATATTACTGATACTTTTCCTCCAATTTTCACATCTCATTCCTCCAAATTTAATCCTGTATAATCTCTAGGCCTTTTCCTTTCTTGAATCCAGCTTGGAAGTCTGGATATTGTGGCTCCAAATACATTAAAGTTTCACCTGTAAAATCTTTGAGTATCACTTTACTTGTGTGGGAAATCAGTACAGTGTTCCACTCATTCCTATGCTCCCTGGAAACCTCTTTTTTGAAGACCATAGGGATCATAGGAAGACATAGGAATAGTGAGCACTCTGTTGCTAATTGTTTTTTTTTTCATATTAATTGACAGATTGTAAGTAGAAATTGGATGGATTCTGCATAGGTTGAAACAGCTTTATTGCTGTGCGATCTGTTCCTGGAGATTTATTTCATCCATATGCTTTGCAAACAGCTTTTATTTTACTTCCAAAAATATAGGCTCTTTGTCAAAAGGTTCTGCATTGGAAGAATGTCATTTTTTCATCTCTTTTTTATTACTTATTATTATTATTATTATTATTATTATTATTCATACAGCTAACAATGCATTATAGTACAAACCTTAACATTCTATAAATCAAGTAGCCGTCCCCTGCCATGTGTTGCTGTGGCCCAGTCTGTTGATCTGATTTGAAAGGGTCCCTTTCAAATCTATGATACTATATCTGTGTGTGTGTGTGAATCATATCTATCTAATCTATGGCTAGATGGCTCTTTGTCAGGAGGACTTTGATTACATTTTCTTGCCCTGATGAAGGGAGTTGGATTGGATGACCTTAAGTATTTTCTGTTGGTCATGGGGGTTCTGTGTGGAAAGTTTGCCCCGAGTCTGTCGTTGGGGGGTTCAGAATGCTCTTTGATTGTAGGTGAACTGTGAATCCCAGTGACTACAACTCCCAAATGTCAAGATCTATTTCCCCCAAACTCCATCTGTGTTCATATTTGGGCGTATTGGGTATTTGTGCCAAATTTGGTCCAGATCCATCATCATTTGAGTCCACAGTGCTGTCTGGATGTAGGTGAACTACAGGTCCCAAACTCAAGGCCAATGCCCACCAAACCCTTCTAGTATTTTCTGTTGGTCATGAGAGTTCTGTGTGCCAAGTTTGGTTCAATTCCATCATTGGTGGAGTTCGGAATGCTCTTTGATTGTAAGTGAACTATAAATCCCAGCAACTACAACTCCGAAATGACAAAATCATAATTTTTGAGTGATGGTCATTCCTTGTTATATGAGACGTTTTGTTGCCAAATTTGGTGTGATTTTGTTCATTGGTTCTTTTGTTTTTAAGGTACTCATTATGCATAGAGCATTTTGATTGATTGATTGATAGATAGATAGATAGATAGATAGATAGATAGATAGATAGATAGATAGATAGATGTAGGTAACTATTTACAGTTTTTGTAATTAAGTTACAACTTTGTACTTCTCTTGTCAATATAGCTCATTATGTCTTGTTTCCAAGCCTCTTTTAAGGTATATTTTGTCTTGTAGGACAAGGCTGTTAGTTCCTTATATATTTCCCCAAAGCAGGTTCAATACTGTAAATTTATTCCTTACATGATCTTTAAATTCTACAATGATATTATTTAAATTATATTTTTAAACTGTGCATGATTGAATGTTATTCCTTAACTTTACTCTGATTTATAATATTGAGATTTCAATGTTTGTACTACAATCCACTCATGGTCATTTTTATATATAGCAAAAATGCACTTTCTCCATTTTTCTCCATCTTCAGCTTTCAGTTATGTAGTTTTATCTGATTTCTGTGTTGGCCCTCTGATGATGTTAATATATACAGCTGTCTTTGTGGTTGCCTGAAGAACATGACCTACATCTGTCCAGTCTTGCCCTATACATTGTATTCCTCAAGTAGAAGGAAAGACAGGAGAGAACACCTCAAAAGAAAAATATTGTATTCTCGGATGGCAGCTCACTTTGATGTTAGTACACTCTCAAGAGATGTAGACTACAAAAAATGAAATTTAAGTATAGTAATATCCGTATGTGATATGCCTCTGTGAGGATCTGTCAGGAATAGCACATGCTGACCGATCAGAAAGCTGTTTTTTCAACATCTAGTAGAATTTTGGAATCTCTTTGGCTTTCTGGATCAGCTGGTTCAGCTCCTTCATAAAGAGGTTCAGCATGTGTCTTTGAATTGGTTATCAATTCAATTGAATGCTATCAGATAGCATTCAAAGTTGATGAATATTAGGAGAGACCCCAGAACTGTTCTGAAGCCACTGATTCTTAGAAGTTGTTTGGACTTTATCCAATCTGCAGCATTATCAAAGTTATCTTTATGTTAAGATGTAGTAAGACACTGAATAAGCATATAATGTTTAATATTATAGTATGATAGAAAGACAGGATTCTGTTGGAACATTTCACTTCTGATTGCACCTTATACACACTTGTATTGTGAATTCTGAAACAAAATGATTTTTGTAAAATGACTATTCATAATTAGCTTGTCATCTGTGTGCACGACAATTATGGGTTCAATGCCTTAACAGAGCCCTATTAAAAAACTTCTAAAGCTAAGTGATTTTGGGTGGAAACCCCATCCTGACCCCAGTACATATGCTTAGAGGACATGGTCCTGTTGTTTCCATTTTGATGTGGAAGCTGAAAACAATCCAGTTGACCCTTGGCACTATTCTGAATGTTGAGGGTGAGTTTTGGGAGTGTATAGATGATAACAGTTACAGGTAAGCAACCTGTCTTTCCAACTGATGTATTTAGAAACACTGCAAGCAAGCAATTTTGCCCAATATTATTTTTCCTGTTTTACCCAAGGACCAAACCACAGTTTGGCTTAAGCTTGAGAAATTTTGGGGGCAATTAGACATTTTGACCATTGAAAACTGGCTTCTGTAAATTTCTTGTAATGTCTAAGCACATCTTGCATTGAGGCAGTGTATATGCTTTGACCATGATCCACTACAAATATAAAATGTATAATAAATCCCTTTTAATGAATAAACTCCCTTTCTTATGTGAACTAGAATGGGCATTGCCTCTGGACATCCAGCTAGTGGAGACATCTTGGCTGCCAATAAATTATTGCATACAAATTCCTAAACAGTTTGGGCCCTTCCTATTCTTGCGACTATATTTTCTGCTATGAACCAGAACAGGCTCTAAGATCTGCCGGGGAGGCCTTCCTCTCAAGCATGGTTGGTGGAGACGAGAGAGAGGGCCTTCTTGGTCCGTCCCCCCCTGCTCTGGAACTCCCTCCCCAGGGAGATTAGATTAGCCCTCACTCTCTCTGCCTTCCGCAGGGACTTGAAAACCTGGATGTTCCAACGTGCTTTTGAATGATGGCTTAGCCCCTGATAATGGTTGCCCAGCCCTAATTTACTGATAAGGCTTATCCAGCACTTTACCCCCAGCCCTATAGTTTGCGTTTTGCACAAGTCCTTGCCCTGACCTCTCTAATTCGATTATGCCCACCATACTCTGGTTACTGGTGGTTGAAGTTGATTTTGATACATTTCCTTGATTTTTTAAGTGTAACTTATTGATTTAAATTGTTTTAATTAGATTGTTTATATATTATTATGTTTTTAACTATGTCTTAGCTTGTAATTTTCTTATGCTGAGCTTGGTCCCCATTTATGCCGCTCGAGTCCCTTCAGGGAGATGGTGGCAGGATAGAAAAATAAAGTTGTTGTTTTGTTGTTGTTGTTGTTGTTGTTATCAATTCTGACTGGTTTCCAGACTCAATTCAAGGTGCAGGTTCAAGGTGCAGGGCCTTCTCGGTGGTGGCCCCTCGACTCTGGAACTCACTTCCCGGGGACATTAGGCATACCCCAACTCTGGCAGTCTATAGGGGGAGCTTGAAAATGTGGTTGTTCCAGTGTGCCTTCCCAGAATAATGAAACTCTCAGCAATATGTCCTCTAAATGCACTTTATATTGACTTAGGATTTCTTGTACGTCCCCACCTCTCCGACCTTGTTCATGGCCAGCATTATTTTTAAAAATTTTAAATTACATTTGGCCCAGCCATAGGTCTTTAAATGTGCTATTGTCAATGTTTTTGTTTATTTTGTTTATGAGATTTATTTTAACTGTTTTATATTGTTGTTGTTATTGCTTTTTTGATGTATTGTGGGCTCGGCCTCATGTAAGCCACACCGAGTCCCTTGGGGAGATGGTAGCGGGCTATAAATAGAGTTATTATTATTATTATTATTATTATTATTATTATTATTATTACCTTTAAAGCCCTATACGCTTTGGGTGCAACCTATCTTCAAGACCGCATCTCTTTCTTTGAACCAGCACAGGCTCTGAGATCGACCTGCAAGGTCCTCCTCTTGGTCCCATCACCGTTCCAAATGCGGTTGGTGGGGACGAGAGAGAGAGAAGGCCTTCTCTGTGGTGGCCCCTTGGTTCTGGAATACCCTCTCGAAAGAGATTAGATTCCCTCCCCCCACCCTTCAGTCCTTCCATTCCAACCTGAAAGCATGGATGTTCAGACAGGCCTTTGACCTTGAGCAGGCTGAATTGGCCCATATGAAGCTAACACTTGACACCTGTGAATTGACAACAGTTGGTTTTATCTACTGTTGTTTAAAAATTGTATTATTTTGATTTTATGCTATATATGTTGATGATGGGTTGTTATAATTTTATGTGACTTAATTTATACTTTTGTACCATTTTTATCTATTGTATGTTATATGTGCACCCTGGAGTTCCTTGTAAGCCACCCCAAGTCCTTTCAGGGGGATGGTGGCAGGGTTGGCTTATTTTAGGATTCTTGAGGGATGAAGCAGTGATTTTAATTGCAAATACTAAGGAAAAAAGGAGCAAAACACTGTCACACTTGATCCATAAAGGCTAATCTTTTCTCTTTTCCTCCCTCTTCTCTTTTAGCTCTTGCATCTGGTGGCTCTCTTCCAATAACATCACTAGATGCAACTGGGAACTTTGTATTTGCCAATGCTGGAGGTACGCCCAACATTGTAACTGCTCCACTCTTCCTGAACCCTCAGAACCTTTCACTGCTCACCAGCAACCCCGTTAGCTTGGTCTCTGCAGCTGCAGCCTCCGCAGGGGCCTCTGGACCAGTCGCCAGCCTTCATGCCACCTCCACCTCAGCAGAGTCTATCCAGAACTCTCTCTTCACAGTGGCCTCGGCCAGCGGGGCTGCCTCCACCACCACCACTGCCTCCAAGGCACAGTGAGTTGGGCCGAGCTGTGCTACCCTGAGCTTGTTTCACTTTGCAGTGAGGCTGGCTACCTGCTGAGTTTAGAAGCTGCAAGATGTGATGGGCTTCTTCTCACCATGTTGCTGGGGACACGGAAGAAGAAAAACAGAGGAGAAAACCAGGGGGAGAAGAACAAGAAGAAGGATTTAAAACTGGGACAAGCATTTGCCTAATTTTATAATAAACACTGTTTTCAGGATTGCTTCATTGATTGGAGAACTTTCTAACCAAAAATGTAAAAAAAAAACAAACAAAAAAAACCAAACAAAAAAGGACTACTTATCATTTCCAGCAGTCTCAATGACAAGTTAAGGTGGGTTATCAACTCAAACATAGGAACGGGATTTCTTCTTTCTTTTTGATTGAAATATCTTTTTTTAATTATCATTTATTGGTCTGTTGTACAGGCCATAATGTCATTCAAGGTGTTTATAATCTTATCAATCGTGTTGGGGGTTCCTTTCTTAACTGGTACAATTTAGGCAGGCCTGTATTACTGATGTATCTCTTTATGATTATTATTATTATTATTTTTATATATATATAAATATATATATATATAGTTTGGACACATTTGTCTGCTCCTGGAACAGTTTCAGTGAGCTCCCATGCCACAAAGCGAAGAGAGAAGAGAGGGGAGCAAGTGAATTGTGAATGTTCTTTACAGTTTCCTTTTCCTTGGCGGTATGTTTTTTGGAGACTCTCTCAGAGGTGTCGGTGGCTAAGTGAACATGTAGAGGGTAATGTGCAAAGATAGTTCATGCTTGTGAGGTGGGAGTTTGGACAGGAATTTTCTCAGCGTACTTGAGCCATATCTAGCTCTCATTTGCACGTCTTTGGCTCCTGTTGATGCCAAAAGAGGAAGGATTTGGCCTGTACAGTCTGTCCTCGGCACTTGTGCTGGTGGCTCGCTCATCTCATAAATGCATGGAAATTGCCTCTTTTCAACTTTGGTAATATTTCTGTTTTTCACTTTCTCAGGAGGCTGCCTGTATTGATAATAATTTATATACACCTTCTTATTGGCTGTTTGGCATATGGTTTCTAAAAGCTACATTGGATCATCATCAAGAACATATTTCCTGGTGTTTCCAGTATGATTGTATTACAAATGTTTTCAACTTAAAGCATTTGTGTTCAGGAAGTAAACCAGGTTATGTGAACAGGAAGTACTGTTTTATGCCAAGACAGTCATAAGAGAAAGCAGCCTTGCATTCTTGCCTCACTCTATAAACAGTTGTAGTGTTTTTTGACACTGTTCGCTGCTCTGGGGGAAAAAGGAGTAAGGAATAATCAGAAAACTGGCCAGCCTGTTTTGAAGCATGGTGACCGATAGCATGATGCATGTATCTTGCAGCGTTTGATGCTATTTGTGGCAATGCCAGTGACTACTACTACTGGCTAAATCATTTATGGCTGTAAACACCTGTATTAGAGAAGAGGAAATAAGTTTCCAAGCAACAAAAGAAGTGATATGAGCAAACAGCTGCTGACAATGGATATGAGAGAAAGGGAACAAGTGTCTTAAATATTAGGATGGTCTTAAACTGAATCTTCTCATTCAGAGGTTGGATCACAGCAGTGTACTTGGAACACTTTTATCCTTTTGAAGTAAATTGGAAAAATACATTCAGGGAGGAAAAACTGCCCAGTGCTTCTTCTCAGCAAGGCTGGGGAAGAGGCCATTCCAAAGTTCATATAATTGTAATCTTCCTATCAAAGCAACCCTGATATCAAAAATATAGCCACTTTATTCTCAATGCCTTCTCTGGTTGGTAACAACAGTTCACAGGCTCTGCATTAATTGTAAGCTGGCAAAAATCTTTGTCTCCTCTCCACATGTCTTCATGCTGTTTGCTCTCTATTCATCTCTGAATCTCCAACTTCCTGTTTCACAAGCTGTTTTAAAAATAATGAATTCTTTCTAAAACTAAAAACTTGTGAGCTGCAAGCAGGGAAATGAGCAAATGTCCGTCCACCGTCTTTAATGTGTGTTTAATTTTTTATGTTTTATTTTTTTAAACTAAGCTTGAACCAAAGTCAATTTCTAGCAAGCTGCTGTACTAATGGACTAGTTTGTATAAGTGCAGTTCAGATGCAGAGAGGTGATAGATGCTACTGACAATTTCTTTTCATTTTTTATTTTATATTAAAATTGCTGCTTGTTTTAATCTTTTTGGTGGGGGGAATGGGATAGTCTTTTGTATATCCTTTGGGGCAGACAGACTCTTAACTTGATTACTATCTAATTTCCATGTTTTGATGTGTAAATAGAATGGCAATGGTAGATGGTTACTAATTGAATTGATCCTCCATCCTCTTCAGCAGTTTGACTCAACCAAAATACTGTGGTGTGACTGTCTCCAGGATTTCAGTCTTAGCGTACAGTTATAGTGCTGTGAATAATGCTTTGTGTTAAGATTTTAAATGGAAACAGCTTGGAGCAGTCAAATGTGTGAAATGGTGACAGCGAAGAGAAAGGTACCTGCTACTTTGGTCTAAAGACTGTAGTGTTGGCTAGTTTCTACCAAAGGAATTATCAGTCCCATGTATTTTGTTGCTGTTGTTCCATTTATGTACATGCACACACACAGAGAGAGATACACATGTGCAAACTTTAACAAAGGAAATAGTGGTTTGGCCCTTTAAATCATCACAAAATATCTCTCCAGATTTCAGAGACGTTCTGTTTCCATTTGGCTGGCTAGAGTTTCTCTTGTTCATTGTTTGTAATTGGAGGGTGTGGTAAAGAGATATATGGGCACTAATGTATCTCAGACAGATGGCTATAAAAAGTTTAACCATTCTGTTGTAGTAATGCGATTCATATAATGATATGAGTCCCTTTAACTGTTGTCCTCTTACGACCATGTCCAAAGATGACTACATGTCTCTGATGTCATCATAGTAAGTTATTTTATGAAAGTGGAAGTTCAAACACACCCTGCACAACTAGAATGTTTGGGTTGAATTGTATTTATATTTCTTATCTCTGTATGTTTCAGACTTAGCACATTTGATGACCTGCCATTATATTGATTGTAGCTTCCTGTCTACATCACAGAGATATCACAGTCTTAAAGGCCATTGCAATTTCTTGTTAACCATGACTATATATTTAGCTGTATACATCAATATGCACACACAAAAATCAGCACATAAACTGCACGTTCTAGAAATAAGGATAATCCACTTCTGTTTCCTGAATTAATTATATTTTAAGCAGAAGATTGGCTCAGAAGAGTTGGAGAACCTGTCCAATAATCTGATAGTCATAATACATTTCTGTTTTCATATGTTAACAGCAGGTCATACATTTCCTATAGTCATTACAAAGTGCAATTTCCTGTAATCCAAAACACTGTATGACATGTATGTCAAATGTTCAGGACTGCCCGCTTCCTCTTAATTTTGTAGTTAAATTATTATCTATTATCTCAGTGTTCTGAAAACATTGATTTTATTTTCATGCATTGGTTATTCAGTTGTCATACTCATTTCATACACTATCTTAGTTCTGTTTCACAAAGCACTTCCTTTCATGGCTAGAGATTTCTGTATATTTTTGTAGTATATACTTTAAGAATGTTTAAGGCTCACAGAAATAGTATCTGCCAAGGCAGGCTGGGACAGTTTAATAGGGTTTTCTCAGTCTCTTCACCTTGTTGAAGGGGTTGAAAGCATTATATCTGTCTCAACCCAAATACCTTGACCAACTCTTTACACTGGCGTGATAATTAGGTGGGTTATCAAATATTTTCAAGCATGACTGTACTCACGGTATGGAATAACATACCTGTGAAAAAACACAGAGTTGGATGCTATAGATTAGGGTTTTTCAAATCACTTGTGATGCACATAAAAAGTTCCATATCTCTTTTGTTAATACATGAGACAGTCCTGAACGATGAATCTGCTCTTATTTTGTGCTTCAGTTGCCAAGGAAAAAAACACTTGTGGCCAGAATAGATATTTTCATTACAATAAATTTAGAAATTATTTTGAGAGTCACCTAAGATACTTTTACTGTACAGTTCAACCAAAGGTAGTATCTGTTGACAGATTCAAAGGAAGAACAAAAACATTAATGAATTTGCAGTGCCAGAAGCAAAGCTCAGTAGCCCAGCAATGCCTTATCCAAATATTCCACTTGTTTTATTATGTGAGGAAAGATTAGTTGGTAGAATTATTCATTGATTGGAATTTAGTTGTTTCTTGATTTCTCATTGATATTCTAAAATCAGAGGAATGTAGGCTGCCTGTAATAACATACAGCCTGTGTTTCATTCAGTACCCTACTTAGATTTTGTTTTGTTGTTTGTTTGTTTTTTGGTTTTTTTTTTTAAAAAAAAGCTAAGATTCACATTAGACATATTTTCTGATTCTCAGTGCAAATATAGTAGTGTAGGTTGTAGTCTTCATTCGCTGAGTAGATGTTGGGCTAGACACCCTAAGGTGAGATTTGGTCTTGGCATGAGCAGGAAGCCAATAGAAATTCACTACTTTACCCGCTACGTTCATGCATCCATATCTGTTAACATTGAAATACTACATAGAAAGAAATTGAGTGTGTGAGTACAGAACAGAAAGCATCGTCTTGTTTGTTGGCAAATGATAAGCTTCAGAAAAAATGCACTGAAGCCGGCAGACTTCTGTAATCTGCAGCCCTCCAGGTGTTTTGGCGTACAGCTCCCAGAAACCCCAGTCAGTTGTTCAATGGTTAGGAATTCTGGGAGCTGAAGTCCAAAACACCCGGAGTGCCACAGGCTGAAGAGGCAAACTTTAGTGATGTTTCTTTTGTTTAGCAACCCTTTGAAGACATTTGGAAAAATAATACATTTGATCTGCCATATAAATCGCACCTATTTTACTGTATAAATTATTCATTGATGGTGTATTTGAATAATTTTGCTTTACAAAATCATTAACATTGTCTTCTAATGACTGTATTTTTCAGTAATATCAAAAGTGCTTGTATTTGTGGTACAATGGCAGTTCATATTAGGAAGATTCAAATCCATATTGTTGGTTGTCTTTTACCAGAAAAGAACATGTTGCGTAAAATCCCCCAAACAGGTAATCTTTTTATCTCTCACATTTAGAGCATGTTTATGCTCTGTCTGTATGTGCCTACTTCTAAAAAGTATGTGCACTTTTTAGAATATGAATTCTAAAAATATTCTAGAGGTCCATAAATATGTGTACATGTGAACAGTTGTAGATGAAACACTACCAAAGGAGAAATCCAGCTGGATGATGATGGTTATGCATCCCTAACCAAACTTCTCAGGACTTTCTGGCCAATGTTTTTGCAAATTTCATTTCTGAAGTTTTTAAAGCAATACATACTTTGAAACATTCACCTGCATTGTTTCTACCCCTTGCAGTGAATGAGCCAAATCTAACTTATCAGTGCAGATCTTATTGTTGGTTAAAGTCATGAAAGTTCAGTCAGATCCTTGAGCATCTTGACTGGGTGTTGACGTCCATTACCTGTGTGCACATAGAGCTTTTGCCAATTCATCCTTTTGCATAGACTCAATCTACTTCACTGCGAATTGCCGAATGGTTCTATGTTTTTTGGTCTGTTCTAACCCTTTCTTCCATATGCCCAACATTATACAAATTTAATCACAAGACCTTTGGGGCCCAAAGATAAGTGAAAACATGAAATCTGCAATCTGTTTTTAAATTGCATAGAGAGCTTTCCAAACGCTCACAATGTGGTGCTGAACGAGTTCTTTGTTTGTGCAACAGAAGGACATCTAAACAGGTAAAGAGGAAACTTGAACTCCATATGATCTAGCATTTATTAATTTCCCAGTTTGTATCCAGACCAATTGTAATAGACTGCAATATGTTTAATGTAGCTTCATTCTACTCACATTAGTACTAGGATTTTTATCCCTGTTGGAACTGTGTGCAGGGAGAAATGAGGGCTATTTCATACATTACAATTTTTCTACATGGAATCATCTCCCATTTTGGAAACAATTCCTTATGTGCATATAGTATTGTTTATTTGGTGGGCACAGAGTACACTCTCATAGAGAGTACACAGAGATCATTGCAATGGTTGAAATGACCCTTAATTCACACTGGAAATAAAGCAGCTTTGTTCTGAAAAGGAAGAAAAGCCCTACTTAAGCTGCCTACCATTGTTGGTCCTGATATATTCTGATCATCTTCCAAACATGTGGAAGACATGTCAAGGTGCATTTCGGTATCACAGTTTTTGACCGTATGGAACAAAATGGAGGCTTCTCCACTGGAATAAAATGGAGTCTCATTTCATCCCTTCTCATCTGGATTTCTATAAATAGGCAGTGCTATAGAGTTATAGGAACAATACCCTTTGGCAGCAGCTGGCTTTGTGGCACCTTTTAAAGAAAATACCTCAGCATATCTTTAGTTTTGTTTGCAGAATGGAAAATCAGGAGAGAGGAACTTTATAAATAGTGGAGGTAATTCTAGTTGTAGAGTTTAGATAAACTGTTTGAAGCCCTAATTATATATATTTGCAATTCTATGTTTAGGTTACAACTTTATAGGGTGGATTGTGGAATAAGAAGCAGAAAGAGTTGCCTATGCTATAGGGCAGGTATTGCTGATAACTTCATTTTTGCTTGTCTTACCAAAGGAAATAATCTGTTATGCCTGCATCTGGAATACTTTGATTGCCATTCATTGTCAGCATACTACACAGAGTGCAGGTTACACATTTGAGTTGCTATATTCTAGGTTCTTTTAGTGTGCATAAACTCTGCCTCCCTATGTGCTGTTGGCAAATAAGGGTCTTGGGGGAAAATGTAAATATTGAGTAATCCTTGTGTGGTTGGAGGTATTCATATAAGAAAATGAATTAGCAACCGATGTCATGCACTACGGCTGTTGTTGAGCCAAGGCATTTAATTTTGAAGCAGACTGATTATGGTTTGCATCTTCATTGAACTGGGAGAACAAAGTGAAATGGTTCATTTTATTCCTGCTTGTCATGTTACTGAATGTACTGCTTAAAAAATAGGTGGAAAGTCTTTTTTAATATACTTCCTTTTTGTACTACCAATGCTTATACAGTCTAGACCAAAAATTGCAGAAAAGAAACCAAAATGAATGCTAATCTGCTCCTAGCACCTGAATATAGTGTACCTGAACAGAGATGAAAATTTAATGAGACAGTCTTCAAGAGAAAGGAGGATATCTTATTGGGTGGTTTGTACTTTTAATTGTAGTGGGAGGTTAGGTCTTTTTCCCCCCCTTTCAGCGCATGATTTGGATTTGCAACAGATTTCCTGTGAGAGTTTGTCTCTTTCCATCCTGACTGAGCATCCCTCCAGGGCTTGCCAAGGAATTTGGGTGTAGATGGATGTGCTGGTGGGGGGTTATATTTGGGGGAGTGGGTGGGGATCAGAGCTTCAACTGGAGGGAGAATTTCCAATGGCTTTGATGGGAACCAAAGGCACTGATAAGTCTTTGTCAACTCTGCTATTTTCAGAGTTTTTTAAGAGGAAAAGCTGGATGAACATAGAGCTTTAGATTGGTGGCTCTTTAGTCTGAGGATCTTTTCTCATGATGGTTTTCCTGCCTTCTTATGCACAGGGCTGATTTGTATACTTTTTTAAACGGAGGACATTTTTGTGATGCAAGTACTGTTCAATACACCACTTAAGGTCACAGGTTGGAAGTGCGAAAAATCAACTATTCTTAAATATAAAACAGAATGTCCTCTCTTTTAAATCGACTCAAATGTCCTGTGAGATCTTTCTGTTCTCATGGTGGGAAACCTTTCTTTACTCCCCAGAATAGCATTGAGCATTGTCACATAACATGTCGTTGGCTTGATGAATTCCATCGGTTAAGCATAACATGCTCATAGACGGAAAAGGGAGAGGGTCTATATATATATATATATATATATATATATATATATATATATATATATAATTGTCCAGCTACTCTTCTTCTGGAAATCAGCTGGGTTGCAGAACTTCACTGAAAGCTTTACTAATAGACTTGTTGTTCTGACATTATGTAAAGTGGTATTAATATTGTGTGTCTTTTCTAAGAGCTAGATAGATTTATAGATAAGTGATAGGGAAATGGAAAAATGACTTCTCAAAGATAAGAGCACTTGGAACAAAAGATGTGGAAAACAAGGTGTGCTTTTTAAAGAGAACAAATTTGAGGAAGGAAATGAAACAACTACTTGGTAGATGGGATCTTGAAAGAAAGTGCTACATTATAAGGTGAACTAGAATGTTTCCCCTCTTCTGCCTTATCTCTCCTCTTCCCTCAGGCCAAAATATTAATCTAACAGTCTGTTATGCCTCTTCCTCTCAATGTTTATACATCCTGATTTGCCTCCATGCCTTCTTCTTCCTTACCAACATTTTACCAGCCTTTTGCTGTATAAAATCTACCAAAACAAGAGCCTTTCTTAACACTTCCTAGCAGAAATACATACAATCCACAGAAGGCTTTAGGTGCAGATGATGAAGGGTGCTGGGGACAAGTACTATGGAAAACCTAGTAAAAATATGGAAAACCAGTTTCATCAAAGATTTTTATTAAGTAAACAAAACTTGTTGGTGGCCTTGGAAAAAGGTTTTTGGTGGCAAAAATCTTAAAATTGAAAGAAAGTGTTGGCATATCTTCTTCTATGTATAGTTTTTTTTTCCTGTGGTTTCTATATATGAATTGAATATCAAATTCTGTTCACAGTATTTAATCTGACCATAGATCAGTTCTGGTTATTCAAAGTTCCTTGGAGGAAGATTTGGGCCTTTTTCTAAAAATCCTGGCAGTAAGAGGTCAGGGGCAGAATACAGTTTAGACCATCGTAGAACTATTCTGCTCTCCTGTTTCCACCATATTGCTGTTCCATTTCCTTCTTCTGCGATAGTAGCTAAAGCTAGGTGTGAGTAGTTGTTTATCCACCACAGGTACGGGAGCTGTCGTATACCTCATTTCTAACTCGTAACTGAGTAACTTGCTTTAACTTTCTCCAAACCCTACAGAGTTGCCAAGTCTGCCCTCCCTCTCTTGATTAACGTTGAACTCTGGCTTATAGCATCCCGTGACCGGCAACCTGGGGAGATACCCCTCCAAGCCTCTGAATGTCGCTGCTTTAAAGCTACTGCAAACTGAGGGCAAATTGCAATCTTTTTATTTCTTTTGGTTACCAGGGGTCCTCTTGTAGTCTGTGAATATCCACCCCCATCCCTTATCTGTGCATGAAACTTATATGCTGCCTTCTCCCTCCCCCTGGTGAGACGTCAGGGCTATAATGTATTCAAGGGCCAAGGCAGGACCGTGAAGGCTCTGCTCAGCCAAGTGCTCTATGCCTATTGCTCACTACATTTTTTTGTCTCACTCTTCTTGTATTTAACTTCTTCCCTTTATTATTTGACAATCTTAATCCTCATCTTCATCCTCCTCCTCCTCCTTTTCTGCACTCTAGGCAAACCAGAAGCTGCATCCCCATTCCTTCAACCATTTTTTTTACTTTGAATGTAGTTTCCCACCCTTTTGGAAAGAGAAGCTTTGCCAGGTCACGATGCGCTGCTATATGCCGAGGGGGGCGGTTTCTTTGTTTTGTTTTGTTCTTTTCAAAGTTTCCAGCCAAAACCAAAGATTTCCTAATGATTGTATAAACTCAAAACAAACAAACAAACCAAAGACAAAGGGGTGTCTTCAGCACCAATCATATCTGGAAAACTAGCCCTCGTGGTTGTTGAAAGGGGTAAATCCCATTCTGGTTGCTACCTCCCAGTCCTGGATGGTTTGGTCCACAACTTGTAGATTCAGATTCAGCGAGGTCACATTCATCCCATGCTGTGCTAACTGTTTGGGGACCACCAAGATCTGTTTGGGTTCCTCAGATCCTAAGGGCAAACAGCCATGGGGAGGAGCAACGTGGTGGGATACCTACCTTCCACAGGTTGATTGTGACGCTGAAGACTTTGGTGCATGATTGGCTGCTCTGATGGGTGCTTTTTAACCTTTTGGGAGCTGGGTGATATTGATTAATACATGCTGAGGTGCACTTCTGAGCTCCCCCCCCCCCCCCCCCCACTGCTTGGAAGAGGCTGTCCTGTTGTGGAAAATCTCTAAAAACAAAACCATATTGTTTCTCCTCTTCTTTTTTGTTCATTAATTATTTTTGCAGCACCACTGTGCAACTATGCATTGTATTTCTCAACCTTTTGTGCTAGGTAGATGTCTATGACTTTTTAAACTTTGGGGGAGGGGGGTTGCCAATGAAGGAACTTTTTACATATAGCTTTTGAATCTCAGTTGATTAGGGGGGTGTTTGATTCTAGGGTCATACAAGCTCTATCCCAAAGCAAAATCCAAATGTTAATAATATTAGCCTGATGCAGATACCAAAGATAATTTCTTTCCTGCAGAACCTTAGACTTGTGTATTAAGTACAATTACCCAGCACTTGCATTAGTCTAACCTCAGTAATTCCAAAGCTTAGATGTATATTTTGGTATATTTCTGGGATATTAAAAATGTTGTTTAAATTCTTGTTTGTTTCAGTGTAATGCTCTTAAAAGTCATAGCATGGAGATAACTGAATTGTCTTATTCTTAGTAGTTTGAAATAATAGTATTTTTGTATGTTTTGGGTGTGTCTATGTATGTATTAACACAACAGTTTTCACTGCCTAGGTGTTCATAATTGAGGAAAAATGTACATAATCTGTAATTTCCACCAGATTGTCAATTTAGATTTCATTTTCTCTGATTGCCATTCCCAATGGGGAAAACTTTATCCCTTTTTTAAAGAGGCAGCATGCTTATAAAGTGGAAATTATACTCTTGCCCTCTCCATAAATTGCCCTCTCATTTCCAAAGGCGAAGCAAGAAGCAGAGCAAATTTGCTAAATAAGAAAAATATGGTCTTAAACTTTTAATTTGTGCTCTTTGTTTTTTAAAAAGAGGCATCTTGCCACCAAACTGTGATTGTGAAAATCACATTCCTTTGTCCTTGAAAAAAAAAATCCTGCCTGAATGTTGATTGTCGGACTTCTCGTTGATCATCAAGTTAGTTTCCTTCTTGCTTAGATCCTTTAAAGTAATCATTTGTACAGCTTAACTCACCATTACATTTTGTAATTGTGGTGCATATATTCAGATAAGATGCATTCTTACCCAAGTTTGAATTGGAGAACATCCTATTTTGAAAACTGATGCATCTCTAAAAAGATCAAAAGGATGCTGTCTCTTTAAAAGATAACTTTCTATTTTTCCCTTCCAGTGGCTGCCTGCAGGTGGCTGTGGGCATTGAGAGACTGTGTAGATTACAGTGAATCAGGATGAAAATGGTAGAGTTTGTGTAGATGCATTTGTCTGCTGTAATTTTTATATATATAAAACTTACTGTAACTGTACAGTTCATTTCTGTTGTAAACATCATTAAACCATTTTTCCAAGTGTTTTAACATGCATGTGCTTCTTGATGATTTTTAAACATATACTAGTAGTCTTTGCTAAAAGAAAACAGCAGTCCTTGTGTTTCTGCTTCCCAAAACCTGATAATCGGGGGGTGAAAGCTATTCATTTTTTTTCTACCAATTTCAAGTTATACAACATTCCAGATTAGGAATCTTACATAATTGAACAGCAAAAACAAACAGGTAGGTAAGCTTCTTTTGTACTAAAGTATTGTTGAAGGCTTTCATGGCCAGAATCACTGGGTTGTTGTAGGTTTTTCGGGCTGTATGTCCATGTTCGAGAAGCATTCTCTCCTGATGTTTCGCCTGCATCTGTGAATGGCATCCTCAGAGGTTGTGAGGTCTTTTGTATTGTTGTTTTGTATTGTTATGCTGAACACATCTTAATTTCAGAAAACAAAGTTTTCACATGAATATTTTCTTTTTTAGAAACAGCCTTCCCCAAAGCTGCCCCCTTATGGTAGCTAGATGTTCTGGACCCACATGTCTCAATGGTGCTAAGTTGGGAAGAGGCATATAGTGAATATACAGAAATTCTGTTTGTTTTATAACTGCAAAATATAAAACTGCCAAAACTAACAAAATTAAGTTCTACAGATACAAACGCAAGATACTCCACTTAGGCAGAAAAATGAAATGCAAAGATACAGAATGAGGGACGCTTGGCTCGACAGCAGTACGTGTGAAAAAGATCTTGGAGATCTCGTGGACAGGAAGGTGAACATGAGCCAACAATACCATGCGTCAGCTAAAAAAGCCAATGGGATTTTGGCCTACCTAAATAGGAGTATAGTGTCTAGATCCAGGGAAGTCTTGCTACCCCTCTATTCTGCCATGATCAGACCACATCTGGAATATTGTGTCCACTTCTGGACACTGCAATTGAAGAGAGATGTTGACAAGCTGGAATGTGTCCAGAGGAGAGTGACTAAAATGATCAAGGGTCTGGAGAACAAGCCCTTTGAGGAGCGACAGAGCTGGTCATGTTTAGCCTGCAGAAGAGAAGGCTGAGAGGAGATATGATAGCCATGTATAAATATGTGAGGGAGGAGGGAGCAGGTTTGTTTTTGCTGCCCTGGAGACTAGGACGTGGAATAATAGCTTCAAACTACAGGAAATAACTTCCTGAGAGCTGTTCAGCAGTGCAACTTTGCCCTGGGGCGTGGTGGAGGCTCCTTTGGAGGCTTTTAAACAGAGGCTGGATGGCCATTTGTTGAGCGTGTTTTGAATGCAGTTTTCCTGCTTCTTGGCAGGGAGTTGGACTAGATGGATCATGAGTTTTTTTCCAACTCTATGATTCTGTGTGTTTATACATGCTTGCACACATTAGAATAGTGTTTCTAGCTTATATGTTTGTTTCTAGCTTATATGGACCAGAATTCTCTATTTTTCTCTTTATCATAGTATCTCGACATCACACACAAAGTGTTCTCTGTTCCTTCTCAATTTCAGTTTGACCATCACAAGAGCATTACAAAGGGATTCTTACTGCTTGGTTTGATAGATTCCTAAGATGACTTTATTAGACTTGGCCTCTCATTTCTCCTCTTATCTGCTGCCTACTTAGCATTATTTCCTTTGTGCCTTGGTTTGTGAGACTTGCACAGAGACATTCTTTCCAAACTAGTTGTTGATGAAAATTGTACATGCACATACGCACAGAGATTCACTTGCTGCTTCTTATGGAGGCTTATTTGATCTATTGCCATTGTGAGAATATCACCAAGCAGCTCTGGAAGACTTGGTCTTTAACACTTTAAGAGCCCTTTTGTGGAAGGAAGCATTACAAGCTAACATTTCCATTTCTGTATTAAGCCCATGCTCCAGCCATTATCAAGTCCCAGTTCAGTCCTGAACCTGACATAACTGTTCTGGGACTAGAGACGCTTCTGCCAAAATGAGCTGTTTAGATCTAGCTTAAGGATTATCCAAAGGCAGATAATGGTGAAACAGCAACACTACTCTCTTAATAACCTCGAAGTCTTGCCTCCTTGTAGATCTATTCCTCTGGCATTAGGAAGGTTAATAGTGCTGGCCACTTATAAGGAGAAAAATTTTAAGCAGTTGAAGTCGCATCAACCTTTGGATTCAACCTGCTTCTTTATCCTGATGAGACCACTCTCCTAATAGTATTCTTCATACGAATGTCACCTTTTATTATCTCTGCCAGCTCTAGTGCCACTTTTGGCATTGCCTTAAATAAGGTAGGCTAGTTGTTGAACCAGCAGTCAGATGATATGCAGCACATTGAGTTGGCGCACAGAGCTACACGTCATCCACAACTTCTTTCTTTAGCTTGTAGCTAAAGTACGGATGTCTAATCTGTGATCGTCCTATGTCTGAGATGTTTTAGGCATAACCATGGCTTGTCAACAGATGCTTGTAAACATGGCTCCACATCTGGACAACCATATGTTGGGATTGGTATTGATAGCAATGCTCTCCCTCTTGACAGGGCTGAGCATCCCTAAGGATGTTTGATTAGCAGCTCTGGAAGTATCAGATGTTGGGAGATGTCCTAGTTATGGCTACCATAGTCACATGATCAGGACAAGAGCACCTGTGTGCACTATTTCTACAGTCTCAAAAGTCAGTAGATTATTCTCCTAGGCTTTTAGCGCTGTTCTTAAATAAGTCTTATTACCAAGTGTTCCATTTGCCACTGCACCATTTCAACATATTTCTGCATTAGTGGCCCCTCTGTCAGTCCTAAATATTTTTGAAGTCAGGCGTTCCTTGCTGCTTATGTCATTGCACCACCAATCTTCAGTGTAGCAGTGTCTTGCACTGCCTACTAAATGAAAATGAGAGCAACTTCTTGATACAAACATAACCTCAGACCATTTCCTCTGTGTTGAATGTCACCTTGTGGATGATTATCTTACTGTTATTTACCCATGCCTATAATTAATTCCACCTCTTTCTCTTACTGTCTGGTTCGGTGATGCCACACTTGCTTCATCTAAGGAGTCTTGTCCCCACTCCAGTTCTTGGAAACCTCCAACACATCAATAGAATCAGATCCAGAAAACTATTCATCTGATTACTGTTTTGAATCCTTGGTGGTGGCTTCTATTTTACATCCCAATGTGAAATACATCCGAGAAGACAGATTATTATTTCCACAGTATTCAACCCTAACTCAAACCGGTGGTTTGTGTAGCTGAATTATTACAAACTGAACACTAAACATCCACAACCACAAATGGATGGTGTAGTATTTCAAATAGTGCACTTGGTTGGATGCTGCTAGTCCTGTGGTTATCCTTATATTGTATGCCATATGGCAAGTGCCTTTGCAGCCATCCACCATTGCCTAGCATGTCCATTTAGATGTACATTCAATGCACTCTTTCAACAAGTTGTCTTCCTTCTATCTTGGAATGATATCCTTACCACCTTGCTTGCTTCTCAACTGTGTGGGTCATGCACAGAGACTATGATGGATAGGTTTCTTACCTATAATTGATTCATCAAGCTGTAATCTGCACTCATGTAAGCCATTTACCTCCTTATGTGTAGCCACTCATTTTTTGATGAGCTTTTGGTCTTTTTCTTGCTGCCACTACAACATGATCTTCATTTGTGGGAGCAAGAAAGTGGGACTCCCACCAATATTTTCAGCTGTAGAACATTCTAAAACACCCGCCCTGTGCAGATCAAAAGTCATGTAATTACACCAATTTCTTCTTGAAGAACCAGTTACAGGTAAGTAATACGTTCTGCTGCTGTCTTACTAATCTGTTGTCTTACTGTGTCTTTAGTCTTAATATTTTGTGCTGTTTTATAAATCTCTTCATACCCCACAGCCCTAAGCCCCATGTTTAGATAGATTCTACAAGTCTAATTACAAGAGAGCCTCATCTTATTTACCCAGAGGCGTTGACTGTTTCAGTCAAACCAAATTTCTTAAGCTTTTGATTGCCATTAGTCAGGTTGCCATTAGTCAGAAATTACTTAAAGACACAATACAACAATAAGGAAGTGCAGCTAGCTCCCTCCGACTATCAGGCTATGGATGAGACCCTCTCTGTCCCAAAGTTTCCATTCAACAAGCAGATGTTTTTGCTCATTGCAACACAGCTCAAGGGCAAGAGGTGGGTACCTTTGTTATTCTGAAGCACCCATTTACCTACTCCACAAACCTCCACTATACAGAGTGGCTCCCATGAGTTTAAAGAGAGTTCTGGGATATGCTTATGATTGCAGCAGTATGGCCACAATCATGAATATGTAGCTTAGTTGAATGCAGAGCATATCCCTATTCTTTCTGTTATATTTCTGCTTGTCATGCCCAGGAACACATAATGAATACTTGATTAACAGAGGTATAACTGTAATATAGTAACTCTGTTTGGGAACAGATATAAACAATGCAGTAACAATTCACTAGAGCGCACTTTGCACATTTATGGGCTGCCTGTAATTATAAATGAACAACTAATTGTGTTATATTAGGGGATCAGGAGTTTGTTTATCTATATTACACTGAGTTGTTTAACAAGTGATTTACATTTCTTTGGTAGTCTACATTTTTGTTTTTCAGAAAATACAGTATTCCACTGCTATAGATGCAAGTTCAATCAGCATTACCAAATAACTTGTTTCGTGAATAATGTTCAGAATAAAACAACATGGGTTCAATGTTCTGCCTGAATCATAGAATCATAGAGTTGGAAGAGACCTCGTGGGCCATCCAGTCCAACCCCTGCCAAGAAGCAGGAAAGTCACATTCATAGCACCCCTGGCAGATGGCCATCCAGCCTCTGTTTAAAAGCCTCCGTTGCATGACATTATTGGCTCACTAAGTCACTAAGGAAAATGCTGTGTACCCTTGTCCTGTGTTACATTTTGAGGTTTTGTTTTAGAAGATTTAAATGCAATTGCTAGTCCAAACTGGAGTAGACCAATTGAATCAACATAAATGTTGATTTATTCAGCAATGATTTTTACTATAGTTGGGACTAGCCATTGGATTTAACATTGTTCTACGAAACCTCTTTCAGTTTATAGCTTTTCAGTATGAATTAGGAAAGCAATGCAATTTTATCCACGATATCAGCAAGGAGAGAGAGAGAGAGAGAGAAAGGCAAGAACAATTAATATAACTTTTATTAAAAATACACATAGTATTGAAGTTTCAATTATTTCAATAAAAACAAAAATACATTTTTAACTAAAATCTTTGTTACTCCAGGTTTAGAGATACAAAAGTGTACTTCTGAAAGACTGGACTGAATGTAAGCATGAAGACAGAAAAAAAACAGTTTCTTTCTATCTTGCTACTTCTAGCCGTAGCTGGTTTAGTACATATACAGCACCAACTTCGCCCTGCAAGATGCTGATCCAACAACAAACAGAAACAGGAAGCACCATGATGATCAAGAGAGGTCTTCACAAAGGAGTTTTAAGGTTAGTTTTTGCTTTCTGTGATAACGAGCTCACCTCTCTGGGTGCATCTACACTGTAGAATTAATTCAGTTGGACACCACTTTGACTTCTATGGTTATGGAATCCTGGGATCTGTAGTTGGGTGAGGCACCACCAGTCTTTGGTAGAGAAGGCTAAAGTGCTTGTAAGGCTAGGGCCCTTAGAAAATCCATGAATTCATAGCACTTTTTTCGTGTCAGGAACGACTTGAGAAACAGCAAGTCGCTTCTGGTGTGAGTGAATTGGCCATCTGCAAGGACGTTGCTCAGGGGAAGCCTGGATGTTTTAACATCCTGTGGGAAGCTTATCTCATGTCCCCACATGAGAAGCTGGAGCTGACAGATTGGAGCTCACCCCGCTCCCTAGATTAAAACCACTGAACTTTCAGTCAGCAGTCCTGCCAGCACAAGGGTTTAACCTATTGTGCCACCAAGGGCTCTTATCCATAGCACTGAGCCATGTTCATGAAAGTGGTGTCAAACTACATTCCTCCTACAATGTAGACACATCCTCTGTCTTTGTTGATGGTGCAACATGAGTGTCAGAATCTTTTTGAATCAATTTGCCAGACACATACAAGCAGAAGGACGGATACATACTCTGCATTCAAGATACAGCCATTCATATGAAAAAGCAATAGATTACCCCCCACCCCAAAGAATATATTTATAGAATATATATTTCTCACAATAGGATTCTGAACTAAGCATAATAAGGTTGACATTGACTGGTTTTGATGACATAGCCTTCCCAGTCTCTTACACTACAATCCCAAATACTAGCATAAGCTCAATTGGATATATAAAACTTAATTCTGTATAAATATGGTTAGGATGACGTGGTTGGCATGAAATACTTCCTAATCACCACATTCACCCTGAAAATTTCGTTTGTTCAATGCTACTCAAGATTCTGTCTTAATCAGGATTTGAAGCTAATTAATGAACTCTGGTTCCAGTGCAACCTGAGATGGCTTTTGGGCCAAAATATATCTGAAGGGCACCTTGCAGACACATTTCTGGCTTCTCTGTAGAATCTGGTGAAGGGCAATAGTCATGCCTTGCTGTAATACACCTAGTCCCAAATCCATCGCTGCTGCTTACAAATAAAAACAGTGTACAAGACGATGGCAAATCTACAGCAAAAAGAAACAGTGCTCCAAAACCCTGATGGTAAAGAATTAATCACTTGTTGCATGAAGAATTATACTTTTGGTTCTGTGTATGCATGTTTAGCTTCAAATAACCCTTCCCACATAAGGGAGGCAGCAATTATAGCTACTGCTCTTAAAACTGAGCTGGAGTGTGCATATATAATGCGTAGATATATACATTTTTACAATCTTAAGTTGAAAGTTGGTTGGGAAAAGGAGCTGTCATTTTTGTGCTTCCTGCACAGATGAACCGTCATCTTGAGTGGCGATCAGGACTCCGACTGGAAATAGTTCCTCTTTTATCATTCAACTGCAGCTAATAAGGAGTCTGCATTTGTTGCATTTGAAGGACATCATAGGTGTCCTTTGTGGCTGCGCTGAGACCCTGATTAAAAAGAAGAAAAAAGACGACCCTGATGTGACTAGAAAATGACTATATAAATTATTTCATCCTTTTGTCTAGGAGTTATTTGGGGCTGAGCCCTTAATTAGATGCACAACATTCAATACACTGCTTATACCCAGGATATATATGATGTAATACTGATATTTCTAACAACGTATAAATCCCATTTACAGAAACAGGAAAAATATTATTGCTACTTGCCTACTGTTTGTGTTCACTGGGTCAGGAATGGAAGTAGAGCTACCTAAAGGACCAGGATTTAGCACAGCTGGTTAATCACCAGAAACAATACATCTTACCAATCAAAGATTGGCAGTTTGAAGACTGCATCAGGGTGAGCATCCGACCTTCAGCCCAGCTTACTGCCCACCAAAGCAGTTCAACAATAACTGTCAGCTGTGAGTAGAGAAATCAGGCACTGCTGAAACAGGGAAGTATTTTACGGAACCATAAAAATGCCAGAAAAATGCTGGTGATCTCAGAAGGAGGAAGTCTGTGATCAAGACTCTGTCATAGAGGGTGGAGCAATAGCACCCCCCTGTGGCCAGAATCAAGCACAACCTGCAGGATGCTGGAGTTGGAGAAAAAAATATGCCGATATAATACCTCTCTGTTGTCTGTCCTGTCTGTTTAACAGCATTGAATGTTTGCCGTGTATGTGTTATGTGATCCGCCCTGAATCCCCTTCAGGGTGAGAAGGGCAGAATATAAATGCTGTAAATAAAATAAATAATACAGTTACCTGAGGGCAAGTTATTCCCTCCTCTGTTGACAGTGCTGTATGCGGTGGTTGGCCAAAATAAGGTACATTTTGCACTCTGTTTTCAGTCTGAAGACTTGAACAGAAAACTTCATCTGTATTGAAACTTGATTATCTATCACTCTGATGTGGATCAACAATACCTCCAGTCTAGATGTGTGATAGAACTGGTTTACAGCTCTGTCTAGAGCAGTGGTTCTCAATCTGTGGATCCCCAGGTGTTTTGGTCTACAACTTCCAGAAATCCCAGCCAGTTTACCAGCTGTTGGGATTTCTGGGAGTTGAAGGCCAAAACATCTGGGGACCCACAGGTTGAGAACAATTGGACTAGAACCAACTCCTCTTAGATAGCCCAGAATGAAGAAAGAGGCACTGATATAGCTTTCTTCCAAGTGTAGACAAGTACACAGCACAATCAGTGTGTATCCATAGACAAGCAGCTCTTCCTATATCCAGAGTTGGATCCAAGGTTCAATGCAGTTGTAGCAGGCCCCTCATCTTTGTTCTGATCCTTTTCATGGGATTAGTGTCAGGGATTTTACATGGAGACAGGAAATTGCTGTCTGAACCTTACCTGATAAACTGCATCATTGCCTTTGCCACGACGCCTCTGAAAAAAAAGAAAAGTCAGGGATTAATAGACAGACAAACTCTGTCTCAAGAGACTGTTGCTTCAGTGCTGATAGCCACCCACCCATGGCTCGTTCTGCTAAAGCGCGCTTTCACCCAATTGTCTCCGTGCTGTCTTATAAGTAGTTGCAGCACAACCTGACATGACTGCTGAAGGATCAGAAAATAGAAATAAGAAAGCACAAGAGTGCCAGAGAAGCAGCAACAATGAAAATGTTCTGTTTTTGTGTGGCTTGATAGTATCATTTTATGTTGGAGCCTTGAAAAGTAATGTTTTTTGGATTACAGTACCCAGAATCTCAGAATCCTGGGATTGAAGTTCCACATATTTGAATGGAAATTATTGCAAAAATCACTGACCAAGGGTTGCCAAGGCCTTATGTGTCTCCAGAATAGCAAGAAATATCACTTACCTCTCCTTTCTTCCCAATTTCACTGTAGGCTTCACCCATCTTATCCCTCTGTAGAGACTGGCCATAGGCAGGAAATCAGAAAACAGTGTCAGCACATGAAAAAAAAAATAACATATCCTGTTTTCCTTTATGATCTACTTAAGTTGATGTCCAACGTGTTTCTAGCTCCTCTTAGCCCACATTGCAAGAATGATCCACTTGAGAGATACAGGAGTGAACATGAAGCTTTTACTTCAAGTTCCTTCTAGTTCACTTCTTGCTCCAAAAAAGCCCTTTCCTATGTCTAAAAAAATTATTAGGGGCAAAATAAAGTAAAATTGCTTCCACACACCCCACAGACAAAAAAAACAAACATTTTTTTAAACACCAGGGCCACTCCTTCCCCAACAGTAAGGTCAATGGAAGGAAGACGTAAGGATATTGAAGCTGACACTCGAAAAATTTCATTTGCACGTGCCTGAATCAAGCAAGGAATAAGTTTTGTGCCAACTGTTTGCTCCTGCTGCAGAGAACACAAAACTGGTTGTTTTGAACTATTGTGGATGTAGAAAAAATGGCATATAGCTCCACTTGAAGTGGTTGCATGCAGGTGCGATAAACGTTTTTGTTAAAGAAGCAGATGGGTGGTGAGGCAAAAGGCAAAGGAGCAATCCCTCTTTGTAACCTAGAGCAGGTTAATTTGCCTCATTGTGAAAATCAGCTAAAACAATGAATGGCAGAGGACTATGGGGTGCCTGTGGACATAAGAGGGCAAAATACAAAAGGTTTCAATTCCCGTGGATATCCATTGCTGTGTACGTTAAATAAGAACACACACTCAGCGTCACCAAAAACAACAACAATGCAAAATACTTTTCTGAAACAAGCAATTCTTGGCTTCACTTACACTGTAAACTCTGTCCTGAGGTTTATTTCTTCTGTGCTGAAAAGGGAAAGGGAAAAATATTCTCTCAAGTACTTTTGGGAACATATTGAAAATACATTTTATTATTTTATCTATTATTATTATTTACTTCATGTATACCTCGCCTTTCTCAAGATGGCTTATAAACTCTTGCAAAAATTTGATTCCGCATCATAGATATAACAATAAACATACCCTATCAAATTATAAAACCATTAAACATATGAGCAAATAAAACACATAATAAATAAATAAACAGATTAAAACACATTAAAACCTAAAGTGTTGAGTTTTGATTTTATACTTATTAGTTAGTCTGCAGTCATTATACAAACTGTCGAGGTTGATGAAACATGTGGTGCATTCTGGGAAGTTTTACAAAGATCCAAGTCTCAAGGTTACCACATGAGAAACTATTCAGACTTAATAGTACTTAGATCAGTGGTTCCCAACGTTTTTTTGACCAGGGACCACTTTGACCAAGGACCACTCCAGCATTACTACCAAAAGGTTACGAACCAGTTTTTGGTCAACTTTAGATTCGGTTTGGTTATTTGGGGTGCTGATTTGGAAAATTGCATTGGATAGACCACATCAGCTCTACTTTCTGATACAGAACATATGCCATCCAGTAGTCACCATCTGCTCACCCACAGAAAGACATATTTATTAATCTAGAAGTGATGTGGTCTATCCAATGCAATTCTATGAACCAGCAACCCAAATAACCCCAGGAACAGGCCTAGAAATGAAGACACCAAGGTGCCCCGCTTCCAGGCGCTACATGGAACGGCTCCGCTCAAGGGGAGGGAGGAGGAGGAGAAGCAACAGTCAGGAGGCTTGTCGTGCCTTTCATGGATAGTCCCCTCCCAACATCCCCGTTGCCTCGACACTATAAGAGGGTTTCACAAGACTAGTTGCTCTCATTGCAACAGTGTAGTAACGGTGAGGCCGTGGACCATATTTTAGTTCTTGGGGACCACTGGTGGTCCATGGACCACAGGTTGGGAACCACTGGACTAGACCAATAACATTTGTCAAAGCACAAGCAACTGTGTCAAAATGGCTGCCTGAACCACAACGACCAATTAAGGCACAAATATGCTGCAAAATGAGAAAGGACTGGATTTAACAAAAGGCAAGAGGAGTTGATAAGACATACCTGTTTTTTCCTTCCCATTTCAACGTCATTGTTTGTCTTTTTAACTCCCAGTGAATCATATTCATCTCTGCGTCCAGAAGACAATTTCTGATTTAAAGAAAAATGAAGGAAATAGGAATAGAATGGTATATGTTGCAGTACTTTTAAGACTTCAGCACAAGAAATTTGACAAACCACATTCTGGTATTCTAAAACTATCCTGAGAAAAGCAGGGTGCAGTCTGAAGAAGGACTCTCTTCTTCCACTCTTCTCTTTAACACATCTGCAGCAAGAGCCTGACATGTTGTGGTCATCTTGTGAGTGTGTGTGAGTGTTTTCTGTGTGGCTAACACTGACAGGGGGAACGAAACCACAGCAACACCATAATGAAAATTGTTCAACAGACCACATTCTTCATCTTTCTTTAAATGTTAGAGCAGCTGGCTCTTACTAAGAAAGGAAATAGAGCCAACCACAGCTGCACTGTGTGAGCTGCATGTAAAGTTACTCCTTCCTTCCAGCAATACTCAACTCACACCTCTAATTCTAGGAGGGGAAATGGGGTGGACCCTGGTGAGTTGGGTTCTTTTTCTACAGAGGATAGTGCTGAAGGCAAATCCTGTGTTTCTCTCTCACTCATCCACTCTTCTGAGCCTAGAATGACACTAAGGCTACAAAACAAGCAGAAAAGAAATGCCTGACATTTAAGCAATCCCAAAAAACAACTGTTTTGAAGAATGGTGCAAGGAGATAAACAGTGGTTGCTAGCCAAGATGACCATATAGAACCACAAGAGTTGGAAGGGACCACAAGGGACATCTAATCCAAATCTTCGCCAAACAGGACTATATCACATATAGTATGAAAAACACTATGTCTTACTGGACAATACAAGATGGAGGGTGCTTGTGCTGCCGGTGATCCTCCCATAGGAAAGCAAATGGCCACTTTATGATCAGATTGCTGGATTAGACTGAGCTTAATTCAGTGCCTCCCTTCTTATGTTCTTGAGTTCTAATATGCTAGTATGGCAAAGGTTCCTGAGCCATGGAATGAAGCAAGTATTATATAATTTCATAAGAAAGATAAGCCCCGTGACCCACTATTAACACCTCCAATGGCAGAAATACTTCTGTTTGCTAAGTTCAGACAATGGCAGCAGGAACAGGTAATAGCCCGATTTGGATAAATTGGGAAATCTGCTGTCCAAATCCCCACATTTAAGTAATCTTCACCAACAGACATAGTTAAGAAATGTAAGAAATTCGCCACTTACATTATATATGGTATCTGTGTTTTGAGATGTGCGTTCAGAACGGCCTCTGCTTAACTGGAAAACACAAACAAAGATTGTCATGTAAGTGTGCAAGTGGGAGAGCTTGCATTTAGATGTATACAATGGTGCATTGTGTGGAACAAGTTCTCTTCCCTCTTTCGTAATGGTAGAATCCAAAGGTCATCCAATGGGGACAGATAGTAGAATCATAGAATCATAGGACTGGAAGAGACCTTGTGGTTCAACCACCTGCCAAGAAGCAGGAAAATCACATTCAAAGCACCCCTTTATGTGTAAAGTAGCTCTTTATATGGCCTATAGCTCCACTGCCACAAGATGAAGCAATGAATCCTGACCTGAATGTTTTCTAAAATAGACTGAAGAATGGGATTGACAGTTGCTGCTAGTTGTGATACAGATATGTTATTTCTAGTACCACAAGGAGTTTGCAGTGGAGTGCTACCTCACATGTGCAACTAGCTGACCACAACTGAAGATGAAGGAAAGATAGCTGAATATTATTTAAGGAAGGAACTGAAAGCATATTTTTTGTCATTGTTCCACAGTTCTAGTTAGTTCGTAAAACAAGTGACCCATAATTCTGAAAACATCAAAGACACAAAATTTGGAAGTATTATCTTTTGAGAAGGTGAATATTGTTGTGTGTCTTCAGATTGTTTTTGAGTTATAGTGGCCCTAAGACAACCTATCATAAGGTTTGGCTTGTCATCCCCTTCCTCTTAGCATGCAACCTGCTCAAGATCTCTCAACGGGTTTCCACAGTAAAGTGGGGATTCAAATCCTGCTCTTCCACAGTGATGTCCTAAAACTCAGACCACTATGCCACACTGGCTCTAAAACCTCCCTGCAGAAGATTCTGGGAATTCAAAATCCCAAAACAACTTTTCCATGCTCTACCATGACTCACCTTTGTTTTTACAAAACAGGCTGTGATGACAATAGCATAAATTAAGAGGATCCCGTCCAGAATGTAACATAATCTTGGATCTGCCAGTCCTAGTGCATCAGCATCTGCATAAAAACATAATGTGTTAATCATATAGTGCACTGTCTTGTATCAAGTCAGATCATTGCTCTATCTAGAGTTGTGGTTCTCAACTTGTGAGTCCCCAGGTATTTTGGCCTACAACTTCCAGAAATCTCAGCCAGTGTACCAGCTGTTAGGATTTCTGGAACTTGAAGACCAAAAACATCTGGGGAGCCACAATATCAATATATATACAGAGAGAGAGCAATATCAGCCTACAACCAGCCATCCCTGGTCAAGTGTTGTCCAGGCGTATTAGGATACTGTAACTCCTGTTTTCCCCAGACAGCATGGTCATTGGGTGATGATCCTTTAGTGCATTGACACTTGGTCATTCAGTGTGGAATTGCAGTAGTAATGTGCTGTCTTGATTGATGCAAAGTATTAATCAGTTAACTTGAAAGGGAAATCAAAGGGGGGAAATCAGAGAAATACAATGATAAATCCTTTCCAAAGATTTGAAGATGATAGATTTGTAAGTCTATATTTCAGATAAGAATCCAGAGGTTCAAATGCCATCATTAAGCAGGAGGGGGAAAACCGTTTTAGAGAAGTTTGAAAAAGAAGATTCAACATCCAGGGGCCAAACTGAAAAAAAGTACCAAATTCACAGTGAAATTAATTGCTACTAACAGAGCAATTCTACCTGTTGTTTCAGAAAGCTCCAGAATTGGATGGAGAGAAATACTGTGCGACTTCCCTGAGAACATGGCTGAGCAATGATTCAAACTCTAGTTTCAAGAGTTGTGTTCCAGTGCTCAAACTACCACATCACACTGGCTCGTCTTCTTCTATTAGCCTTGTTTATATAAGAAACCCTCCTCCCCCATATCTATCTCTTCCCTACTGCAGTTTTGTTTGAACAAAGTGGAGTAAGAGTTCAGACATTGTAAAGGAGAGGAAACCTGTGCGCTAGAGATAACATCGACTTCAGCACCTGATATCAGTGCAGGTAGTTCCCTCAAGCATTTGTGGTAGTTGGTGTGGTTACTCCCTTCATTCAGGGCTGGGAGCTGTGCCACTTTCTACAGGAAATATATTTTCACTAACGGTGATAGTCACAGTATTAAGAACAGACAGGTTGCATGCAGGGAGGGATTCCCTGAAATATTTTTCTGCCTGGGGCAAAGGACAAGATGGTGGGGCTCACCCATCTGATGTCCAGAAGCTGACTGGATAGTGACAATGGAATGGCATTGCTCACCATGCCAGAGGTCAATGGACCAGTTTAGGGAAATGGGACAGGTGGACAGGTCTGTCCTCCTACTGAGAAGAATATACTGGGGAAGGGAGGCTGGGAGTGACAGCCAAGAAGTCATCATCACTGCCTTTCAACATCAGTGGCCTGTGACAGTTGTCCTACTCCGACTGAGTAGGGCTGTCCCTATTTACATGTGGCCTCTTAAGCATGCAAGAGGACAAGGAAAGTGCCAGCTTGTTTTCCTTCTTTAGTAAAAATACTGCTACGACTTCCTGAGAATAGAAAAAGAAGCCTTCCTGAGAAGCAAGAAAGGAAGAAACAACAAAAGTAAACAGATGCCCAATAGCATGGAAACAGAAGCAAGCAAGGAGGTTCCTTCCTAGTGACTCGAGTCCTTAAAGATGAATAATAGCAAGAGAGCCAATGACTCCTTGAAAGTCTATAGGTGAAGAGGTGAATGCTGAAATCTCCTCAAACGCCACGGCAGCCATTCATAACATGTGCATATCCTTGGGGAAGAAGAGGGTTTGCAGCTTCATCAAAAGCACTCAGCAACACCCAAGGAAACACACACAGAGAGAGCAAGAAGTCAAGCAAGAGGGCTTTCCCAAGGGGACCTGATGAAATCTCACAATGATAGGAAATGAGAATTGTATTCACAAATACAATTCTTATTTCCTAGAGCTTCATCGACTATTATGCAAATGTAGAGAAGTCAAATTCAGTCTGTGTTACGCCTATTCATGACTCCTTGTGCTTTGATCATATCTATTTACTTTGAATATATAGCCCTTCGGGTGTATAGCAGGGTTGGGAGGACAATAGCTTTATAAACAAGCACCTTGGTCTCCCTACGGATGTCCTGTTCCTCAAACACATTCTGCTTCATACGGAAAAATGCTGCACTCACAGAGCTCAGGTGGTGTTGCATTTCAGTGTCAATGTTGACTTTTGTGGAGAGGTGACTGCTGAGGTAGCGGAAATGGTCAACAATTTCTAATGTTACACCATTAAGCTGTATTTCTGGCATTGGAGAGGAATTGACTGGTGACTATTGGAAGAGCACTTTGGACTATCTAGAGATGTCATATGCAACTCCTGAAACAATTCCATCATCGTTGCCTCTGAAAAATCCTGCAAATCTCTTGGGAAGACAGGCAGATAAATGTCAGCATGCTGGAAAAAGCAAAGACCACCAGCACTGAAGCTATGTTCCTCTGCCATCAATTCTGCTGGACTGACCATGTTGTCTGAATGCCCGATCACCGCCTCCCAAAGCAGCTACCCTACTCTGAACTCAAGACAATGAGACTGGTGAAGCCCTGGCCCTTGAGCGCTCTAATTGGAGGTCAGCTGTGACCAGCAGTGTTGCAGAATTCGAAGAGGCACAAACAGAGGGTGAAAGAGAGAAACATTCCAAGAGAAAGGCATGTCAAGCCAACCCTAAATAGGACTGCCTTCCACCAGGAAACTGATGTCCTCACTGTGGGAGAACATGTTGATCAAGAATAGGGCTCCATAGCCACCTACGGACCCACTGCCAAGACACCACAACTGGAAAACTGTCATCCTCGAGCTACGAGGAATCGCCTAAGTAAGTAAGTAAGTAATTTAGCCCTCCATCCACAGAGTTTCAGGACAGGATGTAAAAATATGAGTAAAGCGATGATGACAATGACAATGACGATGATGATGATGATGATGATTATGTATTTACATCCCGCTTTTCCTCTACCAGAGACTCAAAGTAGCTATTTACCTCACCTTATATTTTTCAAAATACTAATAAGAATGATGAAAAGCTTTTTGATTAAAAGATCATTTACTAATGTAATGCTGGGCAAACATTTCAACATGTGGCAAAATGTATCTGCCTAGACATTTTGCTTTCTGCTTGTATACAGTATTTGACAGCTTAATAAGTACCTTCACCTTAGTGAATCTATGGTAATTCAGACAGAAATGAGGCAAACATGAATGGATTTACAATAGAGCTGCAGTGCCTGTTTACACTGGAAAAAAAGCAAGGGTGGCTCTACTTAGGAATGCTTTTGGAGAGAAGCTGGATAAAAGAAAGAGTGCAATACCTGTGAACCAAAACCGGGCAACAACAATATGAAGAACAGTGGGAAACATGGCAAATGTCAATGCCATATGAAACAACAGAACAAATGTCACTGCTTCAAACAGAAGGATTCAGCCATTTGATATATTAATATAACATAGTCATTGAATGACATACAATGCAGCTTTTGCAGTAAGGATGATTTATTTTGTCCATTATATGAAAATCATATTATGTTTGGTTTTCTTGCCTTTAAAAATTCACACAAAAATGCACACAATCAACATTTTTTCATTCCTAATATATTGTTACAGTACTTTTAAAAGCAAAAATAGAAAAAAAATCTTTCTAAGTGGCCACTTGCACGTTGCAAGATAAATTGCAACATGCAAGAGGGAAAAGTTTCTGTTAGAACAACATAAATATTTTACATTGAGGCAGCATAGCATACATAGATTTCCAAGGCTCAAATCTACTTCTCTACAACAAAGCATTAACACTTATAGGCCAACCTATGCTTCGCTGAGCCATATGCCCTCACCTGGCTTAAAGAGAAGCCCTGGAAGCTCCCACACACAGCCACTCCGTGCATCACGGCAAGCTTGGAACAGCTACATCACCATAACTATGTGGCGTAATATAAAATAAACCACATGTAGTTCATGTTTGATCAGCCTACACACTGCCTTGCCACAAAAAGAAAATATGCCATGTAGATGAACAGTAAACAACAAGTAGTTTACTCTTCGTAAATCCAGAACAACATATGTATAATGTGATCAGTTGCACCAACGCACATAATGTCCTTTTATGAGAGACTTAAAATGATATTTCTTTGTACATGTGGATAAACTCCTTCAGCAACTCTTGAAGTAAGAGCACACTCCGAAATCTCTCTCTCTCTCTCTCTCTCTCTCTCTCTCTGCTTCTCTCTTCTTCTCTGTCTGCACTAGCATAGCTGAAGCCTGAACAAAAATGTAACAGTAACCAAAAGTCCCAGGCTCAGCCATCTCCCCTAACATTGCCTGACCAATCAGCTTCATGCATCTCATTTTACAGTTGACACACACACACTCGCTGATTCCTTGCATGCTCCAACAAACTAGACATGTAATGAGCACAACAGCGCTTAAACTTCTGGACCATTGTGGCAATCTTAGTGTTGGTGTTATCATTTTGCACCTGGTGATGGAGATTCTCCAAGTCTACCTGCAAACCACCATGCATAGAATTATTTTATTATTATTATTTACAGTATTTCTATATTGCTTTTCTCACCTCGAGGGGGACTCAAAGCGGTTTACACATAAGTAATGGCAAAATTCAATGCCAGAACAAACAATTACAATTATACACTACAATTAAACATAAATCAGATTAAAACCATACAACCATAAGCAATAAAACAATAAATAAAACAATAAAACAGTCTCGTTCATCAAATCGCCGTTCCAGTCATTGTCTTCCTGAAATGCTGCATACATTTTCTTCTACTGCCCGAAGGCCTGGTCCCAAAACCATGATTTTAATTTTTTTCTAAAAGCCAGGAGGGAGGGAGCGGATCTTACCTCATTTGGGAGTGTGTTCCATAGCGGGGGGGCCCTGTCTCTCGTTCCCACCAGGTGCATCTGTGCTGTTGACGGGAGCGAGAGTAGATTACAAGGTAGAACGTAGGGCCGGATGTGTTCGGACAAGTAAGCTGGGCCAGAACCATATAG